TGTGCTGGCTACCGAGGCCTCTACCAAAGTTGCACCAGACTTCGTGGAAAAGAAGCTTCTGACTTTGTGGAGCGAGTTGCTGGAAATGGTAGAAGAAACCATCGAGCAGGATGACAGCTTTTTCCAACTCGGAGGCGACAGTATCATTGCTATGCGCCTAGTTGGGGCTGCGAGAGAGGAGGGTCTGTCGATGACCGTGGCCGATGTCTTCAAAAACCCGACATTCGCCGACATGGCTCGGGTCGTGCGTGTTGCTGGCGAAGTCATTGACGAGGTCATGTCTCGGGCCGGCGGCGGATCAGTGGCAGGCAGGAGTGTTGGAGGTCAGTCGAGGTCTCGCCTTCACGACAGAGCCCCATCAATCTGGAGTGAATTCCAGGATATCGTGTCGGATCCCAACGCCGACACTAAGAGCATGGCTCCTAGCGAAATCCCTGCCGAATCAGAGCTGGACAACCGTGATTCAACAATGTTCAAGAGATGGCAAGGGCTTACGGCGAACCAAACGAGGCCGACCGCCGACCGCAAAGTGAGCCAGAAGTCGCTAGCCACGCACACAATCCAGGAAGGAGTTGAGAGCTCTACGAACAGATCCGTATCGATGCTTGGCGATCCCAACGTTGATAGCGTTATTTCGAAGGTGCAAGTATTCAAGGGAGGCATCTCTGATGTGTTCCCCGTCACCGACTTCCAATCTCTTGCTATCACCGGCACCCTCATGGAGTCTAAATGGATGCTCAACTACTTTTACCTTGATGGCGATGGACCACTCGATCTTCGCAAGTTGAAGCAAGCTGCCTACCGCATGGTACAAGCCTTTGACATTCTCCGCACTGTGTTCGTCCCGTACGGTGACCGCTTTCTCCAGGTGGTGTTGCGTAAACTTCAACCCGAGTTCATCTACAACCAAACAGACGACGACATCGAAACCTTTACCACAGACCTGCGACAGAAGGACCGTGAGAATGGACCAAGGCTCGGCGAAGCGTTCATCCAGTTCGTCGTTGCAAAGCAAAAGCAAACGGGACGATACCGTATCTTTATGCGACTGTCTCACGCCCAGTACGACGGAGTGTGCATGTCAAAAATTCTGGGCGCGCTCCAAGATGGGTACAACGGCCTTCCTGTCTCGTCTGCTCCAAGCTTCGGTAATTTTGTACGGGAAACTACAAAGGCCGTATCCGGTGCCCACGACCACTGGAAAGAAGTGCTTCGTGGTTCCAAGATGACCGAAATCGTGAACCGATTCGGTCCCAACTACCAGCGCTCAGCTGGTCAATCAATCACATTGGAGAAGAGAGTCAATGCGCCAAAGCTGAAAGGTGTCAACATCACCAGCGCGACAGTAGCCAAGGCTGCTTGGGCTTCGACTCTCTCGCGCCTTGTAAGCAAGGCTGACATCGTTTTTGGTCATGTCATATCAGGTCGCAACGGCGGTGTTGCCAACGTCGAGAACATCGTCGGGCCCTGCTTGAACATGGTACCTGTTCGCATTGTATACCGTCCTGAATGGACTGTGATGGATCTTCTCAAGTTCATCCAAGATCAGCAAATCGCGAACATGCCGTTTGAGTCTCTCGGCTTCCGCGAGATCACACGACACTGCACAGAGTGGCCCGATTGGACAAACTTTTCGAGCGTCCTGCAACATGACCAGAACATACAGGATGATCGACCAACTATGCAGCTAGGCGGTATCGAGTACACAATCGGCGCCGTGGGCTCACAAGAAGATTTTGCAGACTTCTCCATCCATACAACATCTCGTGGTAACCAAATGGATGTCACTTTGACGTACGCCCCGAACAGCACCATTACTGCAGAGTTTGCCCAACACGCATTCGATATGCTGTGCGCCAATGTTGCCGCCTTCTCGGAGGATCCGCATAGCCTACTCCCATCCCCCTCAGAACTCAGCTCCCATAGCTCGACCACTGTCAACTCGGAAAAGATGCGCAAGAAGTCCACAGAGAAGCAGCCTGTCTCTTTGCCAACCGACACAGGCCTCTCGCGTCACGAGACTACTACCCTCGCCTCGACTCTGCGATCGGCCTGGGAGCAGATTCTGCATGATGAGCATGGCTCCCCGATACCCATAGAGCTTGGCTCCGACTTTTTCCAGCTGGGTGGCGACATCATGGGTTTGGCACAAGTTGCATCGATTCTCGACCAAGACGGGCTCAAGGTCAGGGTCGAAGATTTGCTCGACAAGTCCGTGTTCGTCGATCAAGTGAGCATACTCGCTGTAGAGCGTAAGAAGCAGATAGAGAAAGAGATGCAGAACCCTTGGGGGGAGAAGGCCAAGGCGAGAATCGGAGTTGAGGAGAAGACGAAAGACAAAGAAAGGAGGGCTAGCAGTTTTGGATCACTCGCTAAGAGGATTGGATTCAAGAGGACGAAGAGCTCTCAAGCTTTGTAATCGACGCAACGCGGTAATGGTTCACATGGGTTTGGTTGTTGTAGGCTGTTCGTGTATAGCTCGTCATCAGCGCCCACTTGTTTTTGTTATCTCCTTTGTATGCTGTCAGTATTTTTGAACATCCTGGGCGTTTGGCGTCAGCGTTCGAATTTGTAGTGCACTCACATCATGAAATAAATTTCCTTACGCTATACATGTCAATGTAGCATCCGGTCTTTATGTCAACCGTGTTGTGCATGCAAAAATCTTCTGCTGCCTCTCTCGCCCTCCGACATCGCTTAGCGAACGTTTCCTCTTCTTCCCACATATTGGTACTATAGTATGCTTCCGCAACCACCCATTCCTTCTGTCTACGCTTACAAAGAGCCGCCAAACCTCATCGGAGTAGTCTTTCTTCATCATGCTCTGGATTTCTACCTTCGTGCAACTCGTATTGATCTCGTCATCCGTGTAGTGACGATATGCGCGATTACCGCTACCACATACAGGACAATCAAAAACATCGGCTAGCCATGTAAAGGCTTCAACACTGCATGTGTTGCATACCGCATAGTCGATGGCTATGTCAGGGTAAATGTTATAAAACGACATTCAGTCTTGGTTTCGATATGTGAGTTGCAGGTCAAGTTCGTGTTGTGGTTGCTGAGAAAAACTGCATGAAGAATGGGACGGCGCGGAGGCTGCGCTTGTCAGAATTACCTGTGCGATCAGTGAAGGTTTGCATCTATGGACGATGTCAACAATTCCATTAATAACATTACTATGCATTTCTTTCAATAGACTTCATCGTACTTTGACAGGTACAGCTTCCTATACTTCACCGTCGCCGTCGTCTTGGTCCGAGCCCGGCTTGTGACCGTGGCCTTCAATGTCTTCCATGTCTTCATCCATACCCGGCCATAACACCTTTCTCTGCAGTACGCCTTTGACATTAAGCACCGCCACCCAGATCCATAACATGACCAAGATGATAGTTGCTGCACTACACACTCCCTTGATCCCTGGGCTGTTCAGCGCGTTGGCGATATAAATAAGCGCGATCGTCATCCCGGCATTTGGGAAAATGAAGCCCCAATGATTGAGCGTGAAGTGCGATTCCTTGGCGCTGATAACAATGCTGATGGTAGCGATTGCGCTGAACCAGAAGGAGATCAGCCATAGGAAGACGCCCATGATGAACCCGAAAGCTTTGAAAGCATCGCCGACAGGGAAGGAATTAATTCCCAGCAGATTCTCAGGGACATGTTTCGGTGCCTGCAAGCCAAGCGCAATGCAAGCATTGGCGGTATATGCGGCTGGGCCAACAGCAACGTACATGCCAGGGCGTTTGGGTATTTCAGGTAAGTTGCTGTTGATCAGACGTGTGAAGTAGAGCGAAAGCATCAAGAATGCGATAGTCCAGCCTAGGCCCTGGAAAGTGACGCTGCCAATAAAGATGTTGAAACCAGGGCCAGGTGGCTGACTCTTCAGTAATGTGCTGCCTAAGACTCCCAAGACAAGGAATGGGTATACCGGCAGAATCCAAGCGGGCATCGCATCCTTAACGGGAAGCTCACGTCGGTCGAATATGACGTGGTACTGGAAGACAGCGACCAGGATGACAATTGCTGCGTACAGCCAGAACAGTATCTCCAATGTCTTGACAAGCCATGGTCCACTGGATGGTACGCCGTAAAGTTCGATACAATAGATGATAAGCGCAATAGAGACAAAGAAGGCTCCGAAGAAGAAGCTTTCGTGAGGATGATGCAGACTGAGCTTGAGAGAACCGCGGTTGTGAATGAAGCGGTATGTGATGCAGGCGCTGAACGCGAGGAACAGGACAATGTCCAATATGAAGAAAATCTTTCCAATGGTCTTCAGTCCGTGGAAGCTGTATGGTTGTTGGCCAAGAAGTGTCGCGATGGCGCCGGTTGACATGGTGCATTCAAACCATGACCAGGTGAAATGGTCTAAGCGCTTCTTCCACGGCAGATATGTGGGGTTGTAGTCTTCTCTCTGTGCGGGCCGGGGGCGCCGTTTGATAGGTCTGGCGCGGGAAGTCATATTTTCGGTGGAGGAGGATCCAGATACCGACGAGTGCGTTGACCCGGGATGTGAAGATGATGGGCGCGACGGAGACATGGTGATTTACCTGTAGGGGATGTTAATGACAGCGAAGCAGATGCCATATTGCTTGACGTCAATTTGGCATTACGCTCGTCGAAAGCCAAGTCGATACAAGCGGCATAGTCAAGGTGTCATGCCTTTGCAAGGTTGTGGGAGCACGCTAGCCACTGCATGAAGTTTAGCGCTTGCCAATCTCAGTGCAGACCGATCGAAACAGGTCCTGCAATCCGTCGATGCTTGAGCCTCACAGATCATCACACGCAACCATTACGGTCACCTTCGACGCTGCTACCATGTCAATATCGTATCTCTCCAGGGTTTAATTTTCTTAGTGTCGGAACGCGCTCTATTGACAGCGCTGCGGTTGATGATGTATCTATGACGTATCCGCTAGAACTAGTGCGGCATCGACGCCCAGACCCATGTATTGTATCGCTGGGTCCTGGAAGGCTGGTAAACATTGCATTTCGAAATGTCTTTTCCAGAAGCATACAGCAGCGTGAGGCGTGCTATTTCATCCGCACCGCCGAACAATTCCTACCTTCGCTGGGATGCGCCTGGCGTGGAGGCACCAAAGCCTAACGAGGTTGAGACGGCAAAGAAGATTGGAGAGACGATGAACCGGATGCAACAGCACAACTTCGATCAGCATAGGCATGCTTATCGGGCAACTCACGTCAAGACGCAGGGTATCGTCAAGGGCAAGATGACTGTGCTTCCAGATTTGCCGGCACATTTACAGCAAGGCCTTTTCAAGACCCCGGGGCAGGCGTACAATGTTGCAGCACGATATGCAAACGAACCTGTCTTTCTTCAGGCCGACCAGGAACCTGGGCCTCGCGGTCTGGGAATGCGAGTATTTGGAGTGCAGGGAGAGAGGCTCCAAAGCGCTGACCCTGAAGCTAGTACCCAGGATTTCTTCTTTAACAACGCTCCGTCCATCGAACTGACCGACATCGATACCTGTCTTGAGATCATGCAACTGAGAGAGAAGTACTTTGATAGTCCCTTGAAACTGGCTGCAGCGACGAAACTAAGGACAGATGCAATCAAACAAAGTGCACCTGGTATGAGTTTTATCGTCGCAATGCGTCTTCGTCTTGACTCATCTTAGCAGGTATGCTTCCGAATACCAACATAATCAGCCACTCGTTCTACACACAAAGCGCATTTAGATTTGGGGACTGGTATGGCCACATGGCGCTTTTTCCGGTACTTGACGACATGAAGAACCGAACCGAGAAAGTCAAGAGCGGTGACTCTCGAGAAGTGCTTCGAGACTGGCTGTCGGAATACTTTGCCCAAAACGGCGCCAAGTATGAGTTTAAAGTCAGTTCTGTCGTAACTGTCGGCTGCGCTGTTCTGATTCCAGTAGATTCAGCTAGGTACCTCACCTGATCATCATCCAACTGAAGACGGATCAGTAGTGTGGGATGAAGCTACCGCACCATACCAGACGATCGCGACAGTTGAATTTCCACCGCAAGATGCCCTGAGCGACGAGCGACGAGTGTTCTGGGAAGACACAATGAAGCTGAACCCATGGGACGGTATGGTTGATCACCAGCCACTAGGCAGTATCAATCGCTTGAGGAAAACGGTGTATGAGATGAGCAGGAAGAAGCGCGAAGCTGCAAACGCCACGCCGACTCAAGCAATCAACAGTATCGACGAGGTGCCATAGACATCGTGCTTTTGATTAACGTCAGTCTCACAAGATCTTCAGCCCAATAGTCTTGACAAATCTTCCCTGTCCAATCAAGAATTTCCGGCACATTCAAAGTGTAACCTTCACATATCAAATTTGCATTCATGCTTTCGAAGCGAGGAAAGCGATACTCTCCAGCCACTGCTACACACAGCCATTACTTTGTCTACCATGAATACGAGCTTTTACACACAGAAACGGCATCTAAGAAGCTCGTACAGATTAGGGAACCTAGCCATGTAGCAGCTGACGTTGAGCTACCAATTAGCGCGTCTTCAGACGTGGGACCATGTGATTGGTATCCGTATGCTCGTGCATCTCATTGGAGGCTGAAAATAGCTGTCCAATCAACGCGACAGCCACCAATACTCCTAACGAAGAAGTTCGGTTCTTGATTACTGCTCGGTCATACCGGTGCACTCAGCTTCCTCCAGTGTAGAGGAGAGTAGCAAGCTGGTTGTTTCGAATACGAGGAGCAGCCACGCTATGTGCTAAGTCCCATCACAGTATAAAAGGGTTTATCATGGCTTCGTTTCCAAGGGGTGTGCATCTCGAACCTCAGATACCATTTCCAGTTGACAATTCACTTCAAGATGCTCTTCAACGCATTGACGGTTCTTTCTATCATCGCAAGCGTTCATGCCGCAGGTCGTGCGATCGTTACCAATCAATGCCCCGAGCCCATCTATCTCTGGTCCGTTGGTGGTAGCATAAGTGACCAACACATCGTCAATCCTGCCACATCATATAGTGAACCCTTCGTCACTGACCCGAAATCTGGAGGCATTGCGATCAAGATATCACCAATCGAAGGCGGTAAGAAATGCCCTTGTACGGACTGCATGTGAGACAAACACTGACTTCGCACACCTACCATTAGGTATTTTCAAGCCAAACGTCAGCCAAACGATCTTCGCGTACAACCTCGACGTCAACCAGATCTGGTACGATATGAGCGACATTTTCGGCGACGGCTTCGCGGGAAGTACCATGACCCTCAAGCCGACGGATTCAACGTGTGAGAGCATCGTGTGGGCGTATGGAAAGCCGCCCGCCGGTAGTCAAGTCAAGAACTGTGGCGCTGAGACGGATCTTGAGCTGACATTTTGTACCGACCAGTGCTTGCCGAGTTGGTCTCCTTGTGGAAGAAACGCGCCGCCGGGTGAGACGAGGACGTGCTGCACGCATTGTATTGGCGATCACCACTGTGTTGCTGCACCCAATTAGATGCAGCCTAACACTGTGCCGAACATGAATGATCGAAGGGACAGCTAGCAACCTGACACGACGAGGAAATAGCTATGTGGGTATCAGCCGCACGCGTTGAGATTGCGGGGCAGGCTATACTGGTTTGGGTTTCGACTTGGATGGGGGAGGGGTAAAACGCCGCATGCTATATCTGATTTCACCTCATTTTCCTTGCTTATTAGTATGCCCTCATCAGGGATTAAAAAATTCCTCTGGGTGTAACCATCTCGTGCCAATTCTACACATAATCCAGACCGCATTTGCTTTCTTTTATTTTCCAACACTCCAATCGATACTGTACAGTGATGCTTCGTGAGCAAAATCCAAAACCCCCCGTGTCTGACATTGATTTACATTCCAGTCATTGCCATAAACATGTACACTCTACCCTAGAGCATGACCGCGTCTCCCTCGGCATCCCACTCAATCTCAATTCTATCCATCGGTTCCTGATGTACTCCAAAGGGACCCATAGCTTTCCGATAACATGTATATTCTCCATGACGTAGCCTATCCGGCTCACTCTTCATTCTCCACGGCGTGCCACTTTCTGACTCCCACGTCTTCATGGTCCAGGGCGGGAAATAGAGATACACCGCAACCTCAGCATCGCGGAACATGGCGCGCACATCGTCTATTGGGTCTAGGCATCTTGCTAGATCGGCACGAGCCCTGGTGTTCTCTAGATGTTCAATGTGGTAAGCTTCCACCCGCTTCAAGTTGGGAAAGCAGGAGGTTTTCTTGGCGAGACAGAGCTCGTTGAGGAAATTAGCTGTGATATGCGTCGCTTCGCTGATACGTAATGTTTCCAGTGTCCTCGGAAAGATCTCTCTCGGGTTGGCGTTGGGTGTTCCTTGGCGCGCGATGGTATGGCCTTCGATTGCTCTCATGGTAAGGGTGACTTCCTTTAGAGTCTCGAAACGTCGGAAATCGAAAAGCGTGATCACGTTGTGTTCCCACACCAAAGCCGTCATGTCACTGGGCACCTCGAGCACTGTTAAACGAGGTAGTGTGGCTGCGAGTGCGCCACTGAGGAAGCTGTGTCTCCACAACCATGGATGTGGAGGGTTCGCGATGGCGGACGGAGAACGTGTGTTGGCGAAGAAAGGAAAATCCATTAGCCACGCGTCGCTGACGTTCAACTCACGCAAGTTGGGGAGTATGCAGAGAAGAATGCCAAAGAGTGCGGGAACGACATCTGTCTTGATAGAGTTGATCCAGTCCTTCGCGTGTCGCTTGTTGGCGGCGTAATGCTGGATCATGGTCTTGCATATTTCCATGAATTTGGCTTGCTGTGTTATGCGATCTGGAGCGGGGGTCGGGTTGTAGATGACGTCGGTAAGGTATACGTATACTCCGATGCGATTAACATGTCTTGTCTTTGAAGTTCTTCCTTCACTGCGACTCCAGATTTCCAACTTCTTGACGCGCGACAGCAAGTGCGGCCGACGACCCATCTCCCACATGTATCCATCAATGAAAGTGAGATTGAACCTCGGTTCTATGAGCAGCCATTCCTGCGCAATAGGCCTCCATTTCTTGGATGTAAGCGCGAGGTTTCCAAGATCCCGATTGCGATTTAGATTTGTGAAGTGCGCGCCAATGTTGAGCAGCAATTCATCGGGGAGGTCGTTCATGGTCGTACGTTCGCGATCTGAGGAAGGGTTGAAATACCGATGAAACATTATGGACAAACTAGAGAAACCTGGACAGGTTGTATAAGGATCTTACTGGTATAATATGGCGGTGTCGGCGCGAGGTAGCGATAGGCAACAGCGAGGGTGGTTGACTTGCACACAGGCAGCTTTAGACTATCATCAGCGTGGTTCGTACTCACAGACTTGTGTACGGGCCAGTCTTTCGTGTGCTACACATGGGTATATTAATGTTAGGGTGAATTTTACAATAGGGAAGCGCACGGTCTCATCACGTGCAAAATAGCTTTCACTTTGATCTCCACACGGCTAGTTTACGCGGCGCGTTGTACAGCCGCAATTCACAAGACGAAGTCTCTATCTAGCAAGGGTAAGGTATAGGTGTTAGCTCGTGAAAAAGGCCTTCCATAAACATATGTCAACAGAAATAGGTCTAGTATCTAGGGCCATTGCTGCTCGCCATCTTTCTCCACCTTCTCTAAGAGCGCTAGGCTATTCCAGAACTTTCATACCTCGTGTGGCCGGGTTCGCCTCCAGGAACATCTTCCATTTGACATCGGCCCACAGTGTTGCACTGAACTGGGAATCTATGCTAATGATGTTGCCAGGTCCTAGCCGTAGCCTGTCTATGTCGTCTTGTAGATTGTGGACCTCGGTTATTGTGTGCGATTCAAGTTCAACACACTCAGCACGCCTCGATCGCTTCGGCTTCTCTTCGTACGTACAAGGTTTCTTCGCTGTGTCTCGATGCTGATCTGAAGGCTGTGCGCGCGTGCCGTCTATGGTAGTGAAACTAGCACCAAGGAATCCGCTTTCTCTAGGTAGCGGTGTAAGACTCTGCTTGATCCGGAGGCTAAATTGGTAGGTATCCAAATCTGTGATGTTGGTCAGCCTGCTGTTCTTGCCACATTGGATCAGAGCTTACTCAATAACGGTGAAAGTCGTCGCTTCAGTGCGTGCTTCCCAAGAGTCCTCTCATTCCATCCACTAGACCCGACTGTTTTCGTTTTCATCTTTGAATCCAGAAGCTGCGGGTCCCATCTACTATCCCTGGTGCCGTGGAAGAAGGCGCTCTGTGTCCACGACTCTAGGTTGAAAGTGGGACTATTAAGTAGTTGTGAGTGGTAGTCAGCGTGCCGTAAGAAATATCTAAAGCCCATCTTCAGCGACTGACGCTTTCTGATAGCTTCTGGGTTCCACTTGGAGAATGGCGCGTGCGTGATCGAGTAGTGCCAGGTCTCTATAGTCGTCAAACAGGAAAACGCCTCGATCTCTTTGCGCATGTCCACGAGAGTTCCTTGCGGTCCGGTATGGAAAGTGACATTGACTCCTTTACGGTCAAGATCTACGAGTAACTGAGAGTAATCCAGTTGACCCAGATCTGCAGCATCGCACTGTATCAAAAGGTTGTTAGGCGATGGCTCGAAAGACAGCTCGACGTGCCTGAGCCTCAATTCTTCCACAGGGACTTCGTTGATTCTTTGCAAGAGGGCAAACATCCATTTGTTGCATGATCGTAGGTGAAGATATTGTATAGTAAGCGGTAAGACCTTGGAACGTAGCTCCGCCAGCGTCTTGCCCATTGGAAGCGCACGATCTATAATCGCTGTGCCATCGTGCTTTGTCTTATCCAGACTACTGGTACTGGAGAACACAATGTCGTGCGGACGTCCTAAGATATCCATAGGTACATCAAGTCGCTTCAGTCTTGAGAAACCTGCCAACGTAATAATGTGTGTTCCCATGTTCCTCCATTTAAGGTTGTGCGACTCAAGGACCTCAACCGTGAGAGGGCCTTTCCATCTGGTATTCTCCGAGATTATGAGAGCTTCGAGCCTCGCCTGGAACACGTCTAACGCTGGACCTTGGAATGGTGCAGCAGGCAGTAACTCTGGGTTCAACGCAGGGAAAGCTGATGGAGCCAGGTGTATCGGACGTGGAGGTTCGCCTGAGTGAAATACCCTAGCTTCGGGTAGCTGAACAGTCACCGATTTGATGCTTGGACAGGATGTTGCGAGAACGTTGAGAAAGAAGGCTGAATCTGGCTCCCATACAGGGCCGACAGATATGTTGTCTTCTCTAACCAGGCTCCAGTCAACGACTCGCCCGGTAGTCGCAGTGATGGCGGTGCCAAGATTTTCTAGGAAATTCGGGCGGAGACCGATCGGATCTGCGTAGAAACGTTGTCCATGGTGCCTGTATCCAAAATCTCCGAGATTAACACTAGATATTTTGTTGCTGAGCTCAGCGTGTCCAATGAGCATTTCGAAGAATTCTCTAATATTCATGCTAGATACGATCAAGCCACGCACGATGGTTTGCTGAACGATCCCACTAATCCGTTTGCTGACGAGTCCGAGGTTGAGTATATGCGTAGTGGCAAGGAGGTTTGAGGCTATCATCTCGATAAGCTCGCAAGGCAGGCTAAGTAGGCCGTGATTCTGGAGGAGGCGGATGTCAACTTCGTCTGATCGCACACTCGTATCAGGCTGGTGACCATCTTGCGCGCCTTTGGGGGTAGTATCCGGTATTGCAGGTTCCCTTGGAAGGGTGGGAGTCTTTGTTCCATTTCCAGGGCTCGCTACGCGTCTCTTCCTGGCACTAGAACTGGGTGGTGTCGTTGGAGCCATAGCGATAAGAGTGGGGGCGATATGTGATTTGGATGGTTGAGTTGAGACGCCAATCGTTATGATGGACTCCTCTTGAATTCGGTACACGGTTGTGTGTGCATGTGCGAAATATGTCCAGTCACGACTGCGGCAATCGCGGTACCTGCATGTGACCAATGGTCTGTGACGTAATGGAGTGAGTCTGGTGAGACAATTACCTGAAGAACTCTGCCAGATTGTGGGAAGCTAACTTTATTGTGCAATTTAGGGCACAGAAGAAGTGTGGTGGTGCAGTACGGTCCTTGGCTGCTGCTCGTTGACTGAGGTGGGTGGGTGGGTGTGACACGTCGCGCCAAGACGCTATTCTTGAAGCAGGTGACTCGTTCCAAAGCTCTTGCCTTTGATACGCACGCTGATGAGACGAGAGGTTATGGCTACATGCGCGTTCTCGAGTGTCAAATTTGGTATTCACTCGATGCTTTCAATATTCTGCAATTTGCCAACAAGTTCATCTCAGATGTGAGAAGCGACCTCCTTCACTGCGAGCTACGGCAACAGGTTGCATCACTGTTGCTAGGTTCGTATTCATGCGGACGTCTGGGAACATACCGTCTACTCTTCCCTCGTTTTAACCCTGAGGAACTGCAATTTGGCTGGTTTGTGGGCCGAGTGTCGATTGTGGTCAACCAAAGGGGCGGCACTGAGTGTTTTGCCACTCTCATCTTCAAGTGTGAAGTCGAACGTCGCGATGAAGTATGCGGTGATGATATTCTGCTCCAGTTTAGCGAAGCGCATGCCCAGGCAGGGATGTCGTCCTGATCCCCAACCGACAAAGCCATGCGCCGCCTTCTTCTTGTCCTCGGCGCGCTCTGGCGAGTATCGAGCTGGATCCCATTTGTGGGGATCAGTATACACTTCCGGGTCGAGATGGATGTCGCCAGTGGCATACGTGACGAAAGCACCGGGGGGGATGACTTCGTTGCCGTTGCCTGTGGGTATACCTTTACTACTGATGTTCCGCCTGAAGGCTGTACCGAGAAGGTTCAGTCGTAAAGAATCGCGGAGACACATGTCTATGATCGGAAATTCTGCCTCCCACGCTTCTATGGGTACGTCGTCAAGCTGATCGCGCAAGGGTACTTTGGGATCCTTAGCGTACTTCGCTGCAGTACTACAGATCTCGTCCTTCGCTTTGGCGAGCCACTCGGGTGAGGTTGCAAGATAGCAGATTACCTAGCAGAGTTCAGTTTTCTTTGGCTTTTACAGTATGAACATCTAGATCCACTCACCCAGCCTGCATTGATACCGCTATTGATCAATCCAGCGAACAGCGCTCCAACGATGAACTCGACGATCCTCACAGCGCGATCGCCTTGATCTAGCATCTGTTGTAGAGCATCCTCGTGTTTCTCGTCACTCGCCGCGCGCTTCTTAATTATACTGTCGATCATCATGTAAAGTCGCGTGCCTGCATATGTCCGTTGTATGATAGCCGGTGAAGGTAGTTTTGGGAAGATAACTGACGTAGCGGTCGCGCTCTTATCAATCATCTCGAACATCTTCAAGGCGGTTTCCAGCTTGTCCAGATCCTCGGCGATCTCAGTAGGGCCTACCATGCGAATAGTAAGGCGGAATACGATGCGATAAAGGCTCTCAAAGGGATTTGTACGGCCGCTGGCATCATTCTTGATGGCTTCTAGAGCTTCCTTTGTGTCAGATATGAGAACAGGCAGATTGCGGCGGAAATGCTCTTGCTTCAAGAGGGAGGTGAGGCGGCGATGGAACCAGGCATCGAAACCAAGGTTCTTGTCTTCGTCGGTGATTTCTTTGGTTGATTTGGGCGTTTGGCCGAATAGGACAGAATCTGAATGTGGTGTACAAAGTCAGTACGTGCCTCACATGTAGTTCGCACAGGGAACTTACAGCCCTCACCAAAGCCCAAATCTTTCGACTCAAAAAACACCTGACGTCCCTTGTCTCCAGAGAGCGCAACGACCATGTTCGGCCCCACATGGAAGGAGAAAGTACCAGTTTTGGACTGGTCGCGTCGCTCGCTCCACCAGTTCCACCGTTGGGTCCAGAAGCCAAGGGCTCCAACAACGGGGAGATCGTCGCTGACTTGAGGCGGCGCGTCCGCAGGTATACGATGCGAGTAGGGCAGCAAGATAGTGGTGGTGAGGACCAGTACGACTACCAAGCAAAGAAGGATCGTTTTAGTATCCACGAATTGGTCGAGGATGTTGAACAGCGCCATTTGCTAAGTTGTATCACCAGCAATTAGACGAGGTTGTCGCAGTTCAATCCTGTCGACCATGCGGATGGCGGGCGAACCTGGATAAATAGCACAGACAGCCGTGTAACGAGCGGAGAACGGCTGGCTACTGCAGAGCTAGGAGTCCAGATGCGGGCGCCACTGCACACCAGTGGAGCTGTGCCGTCATCACCACCGTCGTTGCGAGCGTCTTGTGGCATGTTTCAAGCCTGTCAGACTGGGCTGAGCTCATAGACCGATTCTGTGATTAACACTGGCCATAGATTTTATTGTATGGAGTCTCATGTTGTCTCAATGCTGGAACAGGCATGATCGCAATATATCTCAATGTTGAGCAGTTTGTTGCGACAGCAAATGAGGAACCTGGCCACAACACTTTATTTTCGATGTCTGTACGCACTAGCACTACTGCGGGCGTCGTCTTACAGGATGTAGATCATTTGCAGCCACGCTGCAGTTTCCTAGGCTCGTCCTGTGAACATCTCTCCCACATTCCCGGCCACGATGCTCCCATATAGCCGCTGTGGGTTAGACGCTTGAATTGCGATTGTGATTGCCCGAGTATAATGCAAGAGAAGGACCATCATGCAGTAGACTTGATCCACAACGCGCACCGCTTGCTCAAAATTGTTTCTTGAGGCGTGTATGGATAGGAATTAGAGGACTTCGGTACGATCAAGTGCACCAAGATGCCGAGTTTCCCCCCGTAGCAATCCCTTTCGACACTAATGATGCTGAAGGCCTGTATAGCTCCAAAGACTCTTGTGGAACTTTGTGGAGGGGAAAAGAACTCCAAGGCCCTTGCTCAAGTAGGAAACGAGCCATCGGCGTAGACCCGTGGTAGAGCTGCTGCTCGCCTCTGTCCGCAACTACATGAATACATGCATTCTTGCATGTAGCCTCTTCGTTGTATCCTGCTCTTCCTCTTCCTAGAGGTCCGATACACACGTCACTGCCGATGTTATCTGCAGACACCTCACAGAAAGAACTCCCTATGCCCACAAGATCGTGTCTTGCATTGCTCGGCGTTGGTTCTTTTGTGGGTTTGTGTTGCGTGCAATTGTAGTTCGAAGGGATCAAGTCTTGTTTGAACCCGATTGTTGGCTTCTGCAATGAGCCTGCCGGTCGATATCGAGGATACTCGACGATGATACCGTCAGGACGTTCGATGGCGCGATACTTCTTCGTGCGACGCTTGGGTTTGCTTTGAGCTGTCGTAGCGTTATCGAGGTTGGCTTTTGAAGGTATATTCTGGTTGTTTTGGGTATCGGGCCGGGTCGCTGAGGGCGGGATATATTTAGCTTCGCGCATGTTGAAGTAAGGGGATATGCGGTCGATGGTAGAGTGAGGTTTTGAATGCACTATGGTTGTGGCCAGCGTCTCGACCTTGTCTGTATCAGTGTATCTGTAGAGCTATCACCTTTATACCTTCTGAGCGATGCGATGCGACGCGTCGTATAGACATAGACAACCTTGTTCAACTACGTGACCATGGTCTGGAGAGTCCAGATCTGTCTCATCGCGATCAAAAACTCTCCACACGCTCATCTCGCCTTCTCTTGCACAACAAGCTCACCGTAGAGCAGATGCCTTGCGCGCAGTGAGCCTGATCTACCTTGAACACACCACAACTGCGTCACATCTAGGGACTGTAGACACGACCATGACGGTCTGGACCTTTAGATGCGCCTTCCAACGATCTGCAGCCTGTAGTGTGCAAGCTGGCAGCAGCATAGCAGCTGTCTCTGACATCCTGAGTATATCCAGAGCCTCAATCGACGTCATTTCGAGTTTGTCGCGCGGAAATCTAGACTTTCAGAGTAACGGTTGTGCTGCTGAGCCCCTGTCGCTGATCGTGGTGGTGATGAACGGGTGCGCAGCAGCTGAAGGGCGTGCAGCCACACAGCCCCTGCGCAGCATCGCGAACAATCGTCATATGTGAAGCCGACAAGCGAATCCGCTTCGTACGATGATGTATGCGAGGACAGGAAGCTGGGGTTTACTGAAGGCCAGAGGGTCTAGACTTTGGGATCGTGGGGGTCACTTGGAGAAGACGGTAAAGGGATGCAGGAGAAATGGAGCGTATGGGAAGCGGGCCGGTGATGATGTCAGGGCGCGTGCTCGACAGTACATAGGTTAGGCAAACCCTCGCTCTTTTCACAACACCATGGCGACGTTCAAGCACTGCACCACTGCAATGCATGTATCATAATGTTTATAGCTGCTTCTCAGGACAAATTACTGTCAAGAATGTCATGTTTTCCTTCTTTCCTCATATTGGAGCCACTGCCAAGTTCAAGGAACGATGACATTAGGTAGACCCTGCTACATAGCCCAGTGCTGCTAACATCTCGGGCTCATCCTTTAGTTGATCAAGTGTCGTCGCGAGGCACTTCTCGACTGCAGGGATTATATCGCCGGCAACGTAAGGCGCTGGTGTATCCCTCTTGGTTTCCGTTATTGCTACGTCAGTGAACCTCGCGATGCCGAATCTTGTGGTCAGATCAACGCGCGATGCCTGCCATCCTCGAAGCGTGGCCAGAAGCCTAGAGTCAGGGTAACAACACAAGCTCCAGGCAGCTGACAGAAGGTTCTGCTGGAATAGCAGCTGAACTTCGCGCAGTTTCGGAAAGCCAACTTCATTGAGTATCAGCCTGTCGAGCCATCGCACATCGGGAGAGACCGTTCCAAAGATTAAGTGTACAGACTCAAGAGATGGCGGCAACATATGGTGAGGCTCGGTGTAGTAACGATGTTCGACCAGCCGGCAAGGTGTGAATTCAGACAACAACCTGTCTCCCGGCCTTTTGAACAAAGTCCTATATGGGATTACCAGTCGCTTGAGCTTGGAACATTCTGAAAGATGCAAGGACATGACTAGACTGGTTGCCGGGAAAGCATCAGGGTGGTCGGGATTCACATTGACCTCCTCGAGTCGTGCTTGGACGTCTGATCGCGCCTTCTCGTACGAACGCGTGGCCACTTCGGTACTGGATATAATGGGGCCAGTGAGAATACAAGCATTCAGCAAATCGAAGCTGTGGCTAGAGACTGTACCCATAGACACACACTTTAGACCACGCGCAAGAGTCAACAGAACTTTCATTCCAGCTGAGGTGCACTTAGACTCTTCGAAAGCAGTATCACACATGGAGTAATCCCTGTGTATCATGTGGGGTCTCTGAGCGGCATTGTGGTTGGAGACTATGCTTCGCGCTGCATCCTCCGAAATGGGACCAAGTCGAAGGTGAGTAAAGGACATGACTAGTGTTGAGTAAGCTTGCAGTAAGTCCACCAGTTTCCAAACATTTTTGAGCGGTAGAGTTGCTCGTCGAACAAGGCCTTCCTGCGCGATTGGGCGTATGCGCCGACAAGTGATTGACAAAACATGGAGGTCGGTGATATCGACGTCGTCCGTGATGTGGACCAGCAGCTCCTCGGGAAGCCGGAGTATCGCAGCCTTGGAATGCGACATGTCAACGAGCTCTGATCCGAACTCCTCCGGGGTCTTGGGATGGTCTGACTCAACCGGTCTGCGAGGATTCTTGTGGTGAGGAGAGACGAACCTTTAGCCACCGGCGCAATGAAATCGATTGGTTCCTGGAACGCAACACAAAATATTTGTTCCGTTCCGATCTCACCTCCAGAGCGTCGCCATGGCCAATAGCCTCCTGCTCTCGCGTACCGACGGCCGTAGGTGGTAGACGCAATCAAAAGAAGTATGTTGAAGCACTTCTATCTTGCAGTGTCTGCTTCCACTACTGTGTCACAAATGGATAACTATACACTGTAGCCTGTTTTAACCCAAATCAAAGACAACTTCCGATCCGCAGTCGAGTCTTCCACCAATTCCTCGGTGACTTGGACTGTTTGCGTTGTTAGTATCTGAACAAGTCTATGTAGCCTCGAAAGGTTACGATGTCCCAGTCAAGACCAGAAATCTACGAGTTTCCTTTCAACGCAACCGCCCTTCCCCTCAACCTTTGCAAAGCTCAATGTCCGTGATGGTTATTGAGACAAAGTCGTTCTCCAGCGTTCTGTTCAGTACACGATACTCTTAGCAGTTTACTCCTGCCTCTCCCGCCAATGATATCGAGCCAGACTGTTGGATATGTCTACGCAGATACTTTGAACACAAAGAAGACGATGGGAATGCCGGTGACGCAATACCTGAGTGTATACCCATCAAATTGCCATGCAGATATATCGTCGGTCAGTACTGCTTCGAAGAATACCGAAGCACCACAAACATAGAGCAACGTTTCATGTGTCATCAAAAGATTCTTCCTCGAGGTCCTCAAACAAGACTTGCTACTCTCCTAGGCACAGTATGTCAAACATGATGAATTCAGTGGCATGAGCGCAGACTACGGATGACCTTGTTCGACATGGAACTCGAGGATGCATCAAGCATCGAGATGAAGATGTATGATATTTGTGTACTAACGTATCTCGATGTTTTCATCGTCACTGGATCACTTGCACACGCATTACACTGATACACAAGCACAAGAACGCTATTTTTATGGTTTGGGTGAACGTTGCTATAGTCACGCCATGTGGGCCATCGGTGCATCGTTTGTGTCCAAAAGCTTCGGAACGTGGTCAGTAAGCCATGTCTTGACGAGTCACGGTTGGGTGTCTAATCACTGGATAAGCCGCATCATCTTCACTAACCATCCGTTTCATTAAGAATTACTCATCATTCACAACTACCACTGACACATTCACCAAACGTTCAGCGCAGCAGCACCGGCAAAGGCGAGAAGCACAGAGCCCTCGATTCCGTATTTGGTAGCCGCACCAGTGCTCTCAGGCGCAGACACAGACGCTGAGGAGGAGCCACTAGCAGCAGACGTAGCCTCCGAAGCCGAAGCCGAAGCCATTGTGTTGGTCGGCATGACAGATCCACTGGGGGTCATCAGACCTGCACTGGCACTCCTTGTTGTAGTAGCGATAGTGCTACCGCCTTGCGCGAACTCAGTCATGCTAGGAACAGCACTTCCAGCATCAGTCAAGAGGCTGTTTCCAGCGACAACAGTAGCGGAGAGGAACTTCACGTCGTCACTGGAGAGCGTCGCCGTGATAGGTTCACCGCCAGTGTCGTCGTTGCCGCCTACTTGGTTCACCGTGCAAGTCATTTCAACTGCCTTTTCGTTGTAGTCGCATCCGAGGCTCATTGATACGACGTCGGTCGACATCTGGGCTTGGAAGCGCGTTTGGGAGAGGATAGTGACATCGAGGCCTGGGCCCCAGCCACACTCGTCGCTGTCGTCGGTATCCGTAGGGCAGGCGATGTGGAACTCGGTAGTGGAGGGATTGACGGTGTTAATGGTCGCAACAGGGTCAACGCCATCGTAGCCTACGCGAATTAGACTTGATCTGTGCCAGTGTTGGGAACTAGAGTGACGTACCACCAGGGAAAAAGAAGCTGACGACGTCTTGAGCACAAGCCGCGCTTGCTAGGATGGAGAGAATAGCAATGGATTGACGCATGGTGGGTTTGGTGGGTCTACTCAGAAAGCAAGGATTATATTAGGGTATGGTAAACAAACTTTGCGAATGTAACGAACGACTGATTGGGTATAAAGGAGTGTGGTCGCAAAAACGAGTAACGATACGAGCTGAGGCTTGACGGCAGTGCCAACGCCTTTACGAGGAGGCGCATTGCTTCTTTTTATCTTCCCCTGAGTTTGGTATCGAAGCTTGTTTTGTTAGCTGCCGCGAAAGACCTTCAGGCTAGTGCTGATCTGCATTAGCCGTGTGGGCCATCTTGTGGGAAATGAGACTATGCCTTCGAACGAAGCCTATAAGCCAATTAAAATATGAGCCTAGTTCGGAGGCAAGCATCCGTGGCGTTGTCATATCCAAACTGCCGGTGGGACGAACTTGATAGAGGGTTTTCCACCAGCATGGTTTCCAGATGCTGTTGTTCTCAGGCCATTGACTCGTGACACTATGTCCGAAGACCGGGGCCCAGATGTACCAAGATGTTCCTTTGTTCGGGTCATGATTGTTCGACATTTGCATTCCGACTATATCGGAATGTAGTAAATGCCTTTAGGATAGTTAGGAGACCTATGCAGATATCAATTTGGGTGAGAATCTTCTTCATCCCTGATGGTTTGTGGATCCAATGTCCTTCTGAGACCGGCTTTGCGACTCGAGGAGCATATCATCGGCTATGCACCGCGAAATGAGACTGCGACGTTTTCTAGGCGACCAAGGCCGGAGTGACGCCAGTTTCAGGCCGACATTGTTGGACGATAACCTAGACTGCTAATCGCTCGTTATTTTCCCAAGGCTGCAGTATCGCGACGCAGATGACTTGTTGAACTCGTGTGTGCACTGGGTTCAGAGGGTTGTTGTGAACAAGTGGTCAAACAGCCTTGGTGATGCGGGGACATGCAGCAACAATCGGTAGCCTACCATCCCACAGCCTAAGAGGCGCACTGCGCGCACGCACCCTCTCATCCTTCTCTCCCGTATCTTTTGGTGCATTTCGCATCTCTGAGTAGACTTTGGTTTGTGCGGAATTCGATTATTGGTAGTACCATCAATAGTCTAGCCGTTGCGGACCCTGCACTGTCAAGCAACATAAAATGGCACCACCATCTTCTGTTGTCTCCTCTCGAAGGTCTAAGGGTGTCCTCGTTCTATGGGGATCGGTCGACCCTACCACAACTGAGGAGAACGCATTGAACGATTGGTGGACCAACGAACACCTTCCCGAGCGTGTATGCCTCCCTGGCTTTCAAAGCGCGCGCCGCTACCGCGCACTCGAACCCGAATATGGGCCAAACGAGTATCTAGCACTGTACGAAACTTCGGATGTCCAAGCTCTGGCATCGGCCGAGTATCTATATGCTCTCGACCATCCGACAAAGAAGACAGTGCAATTTATGCCTTGCCTGGCAAACATGAGCCGCTTCGCATGCGAAGAGATCTGGTCAGCATCCTCGCCGACTTCGATGTCAGACCAAGCGGAGACCTACGGATTGTTAATGCTTGTTTTTGAGACCAACAATGCGATGGATATTTCGACAAGAGTTATTGGTGACTGCCTCGGTCGCAACGAGCATGGCGCGCTGGCAAATGTAACGCGTTCTCAAATCGCAAGAGTAAATCCAGATATTACAAGAGCGGGAAGTGCAAGCAAGTCTTATGACAATGTCCGGTTCGATAGCTCGAGCGGTGGCGATAGCACAAAGACGGCTGGGACCTTCGTCGCACTCGTGGAATTTGGTAGCACTGCTGACGGCTCAGCACGTAAACTATCTTCAAGCAACGAGGCGCTTCGATCGCTCACCGCCACCATAAAGACTGCTGGGCTACAAATCCAATACATCAACACCTACACGCTCTTAGCCTCTCTCACCAGATCCCAGGTTGTGTGCTGACAGCCTGACACGACGTCTGCGCCTACGCCATGCTGGCCGCCTAAACTACGCGAAGCGCTTCCGGCAACGCGCGCCCCGTTTCCAGGCATCCAAGCCAATCGCGCACCCCATCTAACAAGGAAACACGAGTCGAGTATGGGAAAGTACCAAATTTGGGGTTTCGACATTTTGTGGCTGCAGGGGTAATCGTCCTAATTGTTCCTGAGGCGCAACCGGTGAAGATGCTAGCCCCTCCATAAAGAGCGCTGTAAGTCCCGCCTTGTCCGCTTACACCCGTACCATCTGTTTCTTACAATCACGAAAGACTCGGTATGCCTTCTATCAAGATGCCCTCTTTCGGCCTCGGCCTCCCACGCGATGCCTCTCCCCGTCTACGCATCATACAAGGCTGCCAAATCGCCATCGCAGCCCTTAGTCTCTTCGCCGTCTTCATCACGCTTGTCTTCCCTGTCCAGCGCAAGCTCTTCACTCTTAGTCTTCTCTATACCCCCATTTTGACTTCGGTAACGACAATCTTCCTCATCGTCCGAGAGCAAAGACGCGCCGCCGCCGGTACTCTGTCCAAGCAGAAATATGTCAAGTACCAGATCCTCAAGATGGCTGCTGCGTTCGGCATGTCCATCATAGGTTTCATTGGCCATGTTGCTAGTACGCCGACAGAAGGAGATGCTCATCGTGCGGGACAGCAGGGGCTGTGGATCAGTGGGGTCAAGATCAATAAGTGGCAGGGACTGCTGCTTTGGTTGAACTTCTTCAACTGGTAAGTCCTCCGCATCCAGGTATGATAGGTGTCTATGCTGACTGATCCGCGTGTACAGGGTCTTCCTTTGGGCTAGCTTGTTCTACTCTTGCTGCATGACTAGCAATAGGCATGGTGCTATCGCTCTTTCTGGCGAGGAGGCGCAGATTGGAGCTGATTCCGACTCAGCTAACGACGAAGCTATTGCTCGTGCTCTTCAGGCTCAGGATGGCAACTGGCAGGCATAGAAAGGCATCGTGAAATCGGCGTTCAAGTCGTCTTGGCGGCGAGTGTCGAGAGTCAGCAATTCGAGCGTGCCTAACGACAAGTGTCAGCCGATTCACTATCGTTCTTAGATAGGTGATACCATCAACGGCTTTTGGTGAGCAAAATGGACGAGAGTAGTCTAGCAGAGCAACGCGAACACGCTGCTTAAATCAGGCTTTTGGTAGAACCAAATTCGACATGTGACATTGCTACCTGCCTCTTCTTTCATACTGCAACAATCATATGTACTCGCACCTACAACACCAAAGCAACCCACCCGATAATACCAGCAACAACGACTGGTACCCTGATCGCATCAGCAGCATCAGTAAAAACCGGTAGACCTGGAGACTTAGAAGAGGTTGTTCCTACGCTAGTAGTGCTGAGTGGCTTATCACTAGCAGTAGGATAGGGGATTTGCGAGAGCACAACACTACTCTCTTCATCGGCGGTACTGCTACCCGGAACGACGACCGTGACGGCCGTGCTCGGTAGCTGAGGAACGATCCAGCTGCTGGTTTCGATGACGCCAGTTGCGGTTGTCAGAGCCAGCGGCTGAGACGGCATGAAAGAGCTTAGTTCGACAATGCCAGTAATAGTGAGAAGGCTGGAAGGAATCTGTGTGACGACGGAGACGGTACGAGTAGTCGTGATAGTGATGAGGGCCGTTGAGCACCCATCATCAGAGCTGACGTCGCTGAGCATTGCACTGGAAGCAATAACATAGGAGGACGGCTCAGGGTAGCCCGGGGATGGAGCGGGGACCGAGTCTAGAGTTATCAGATCCTACTACTCTATTTGGTAGATTGTAGCCACTTACACAAAAGTGACGTAGCGTATGGATCCTCGTTGTGAAGTTCAGATGGTGTCACGCCTCGGATATCTTTGGCTGTGACGAAGGCGACGAAGACAATGAAACAGAACGGGCACTTCATCTCGAGAACTTGCTGTGTACGTAGAAAACGTTGGTATAGTTTCTCTATCGGTAAAGGTGACTTCTGGAATGTTGAAGGGGCATGTATCAAAGTATCAAGCAGCGTGGTGCGGTAGAGCTATGCTAGAATATATACAGAAATTCAGACATCGCACGTCTTCGTCACATCATGATCCTTGCGCGCTGCCTGCGTGTTACCAGGCGACAGCGTGGCACTGAGAAAGGTACAGAGCACCAGACGGGAAGGTTTTCTCTTTTAGTCGATTGACTTCGATCTTCGGCTGTGCATACCACGCATCTGTTTCCTCTCGCATCATGCTCGTTGCACAATATTGATTGCCTACAGCGCTTGTACCGCCGACTTTGAGTAGTACGTATATCCAATTGGCTGGCTTGCGAAGTGTTGCTCTAAGCCAGGGGCTATGTGGCATATATGTTGTTGCATTCTGTATCAATAGTCTGTGAGAACTACAGCAGACACCGTCGCTCTGAGAGTGTACGACCGAGCAGCCGCCCGTAGCACGTGTGGAGTATCGTTGCATGACCAATAGTTCACACTGAACAAGAATTTTGTGTTGGTTAGGTCTCAGACAGAGATGGGACCTTGATAACGATGAGGCCAAATTCGTTGCACTCTGGTCAAGTAATTCCGCAATAGCACATTTAGCTTCCATGCTAGATTGAAAGTGAACGGTGTGGTTTCTGGTAGCTGCGTGCACACTCATGGCAGGTGAGAGTGCTTGGATGCAAGCACAGCACGCTTTTGCATCGTTCTTTGACATCATTGTGGAGTCCAAGTTTCGTGCAGAACAGGCTCCTGGATAACGACTGTCTTATACTCATCCGATGTAGCACCGCTGTGTAACATGACTTTCTTATATGAAGCCTGGTGTCTCTTGTACGAAGAGCGATTGCGTGCAAAGGTGCTCATTGTTGAGGTAATGAGGTTCGCATCATGAACCAGTCGATTCCGGAGTCATGTCCTCATGCCAGCTCGTGTAATTACCAGTAGGGCCGTCAAGGGCACTGAGGCTATGCTACCCCTGAGTGTTTACTGGTGTTTGGTACACGGATACCCGTCGTTGGTGGCGGAAAGAAAGGCGCAGAAGTGTCGACAGGATGCGTACGTCAAATCCTTGAGTAGTTTCATCTCCGCGACATCGTAGCTCGCTAGAGAAATTCAGCCTAGCTCTGACATACGACGATGAGCAGGTAAGTGAGCGGCCTCTGGCGTGGAGACATCATCTGCTCCTTCCAGATTTCTAGTGTTGCTTGAGACGCCACTGTCCCAGCGCCAGCAATTTTCATTCGCATTGCTGCCTCTCCTGTCTTCACCAGAACTGAGGTTATCGCTAGCGACGTTGTCGGGTTTCTTGTCGGCTTTAGACTTCCAAGGCGGCAGTTCGTAGTCGGGTATTGATGCACTGCGTGTAGAACTATGTCCAGGAACCCTGGTGCGAACATCTTCTTGCGAAAAGACGATATGCTCGCTACCAAACAGACCCCGGATGAGCGAATGTCGTTGCCGTGGCGCTTCTGCAAAGATATTGGTGCTGAACATGTCTTCGCCAGGTGAAGATGAGAAGGTCAATAGTAGTGAAGGGTCATTGTTAGGGTGCGGGTGGCCCAAGGCGATGGTTTTGATGAGATGCGCCATAGACATCTCGATGTTGAGCTTGACTAAGTATGCGAGCGGGTGAAACATAGCGTAGCTTCAAGGGTCAGTGAAACTGAATTTGAGAGGCTCAGGCATGCGCTAGACTTACACAAATCCGTTGGGGATACTCATCGCACCAATGATCATAACGTCTAGCAGGAGAGAGACAACGATGATACGCTTATTAAAACGGACCAAGCGGTTGTACTTGGTCAGACCATTCTTGACCAGATCCGCATTTACAACGCGGATGAAGTACCAATTAAGATACGCGTCGAGGAGAAGAAACAGCACTTTTTCGGTGCGGTCCCAGATGGCGTTGATATGAACCCATCTGCCATTATCAGCGGATATCGCGAAGCTTGAACTATGGAATTCACCTTGGGCTGATCTGAAGCCGTGCGGGCATCCAGATTATGAAAACGCTGATATTGATCAAAGTCACATAGATTGCGGTACCTATTATGAGACGTCGTCCTCTTACCCGATCTTGGAGGATGATACGAATACGATTAATGATAATTTGAGGAAGCAGCTGAATCTGAATGACCCAGCATAGCACTGCTGATGTCAGTCAAGTACAGATGCCAGGGCCGTGGTATACTTGCAGACAGACATGAAGAAGTAAAAGCTGGGCCTTATAATCCTCAACAAGTACAACAGACACTCGATAGAGATAGCCACCGAAGCAGCAATCTCCAGCCAGATCATCCAGATATATGCGCTAGTCCTTGGGCGCCGACATGATTTTGTCTGTCTAACGCCGATGAAAGATGCGGTTATGGCGAAGAAGTTGGCCAGACCAAACGCTGCAGCTGCCAAGGCTATATCGGTGCGGGTCACAAGTATGGGAGTATAATTGTCGCGGACAAATGGTCCCCAAGCAGTAAAACCTGGAGGTGCAGCGAACTTGTCGCCCATGAGGACTCTTAGGAGGCATTCGGTGCGGATGCCGTGGAATGCATAGCGAGACGTCAGGTAGAGCCCTGGGGACTATCAAGAAAATTTCGCTGCTTGCACTGATCGGTGGCTTGCACTACTGGGGAAATCGCGGAGCCAATTGCGCTACCCCACAAAGTTCAGGACGGAGATGTCCGGTGTCGCTTGGGGCTCGTGGACGTTTGTGCTATGCGCTGATAGGCGTTGCGATTCTGGTGACATTGAACGCTGCGCCACAGGATACATGCCAACATGAACAATGTGTATGGCACAATTGAATTGGATCGCTTGAGATGCCTTGAGCAGCGAGCAGCACTTGATGACGTTGCTTGTGTCGTCGATAGGAGTCGGGCGCACTGCCCGCCTGTGCTGATTGGATGAGCCATACTTGAGACGTGGTGGCTTTGGTTTGCTTCTCCTCAACATCAGCCAAAACCATCTCTGTGCGTGGTTTAAGGTTGCGGAGCTCGGTGGTTTTCATGCTCCATTGCGCCTCCGGCCGAGCGCGCCAAGTATCAGTCACATTTGTTGTCATTGCGTGGAAAAAGGCAGTCGCAAAATCAAGTATCAACAACTTGCTAGTACGGATGAGTGTGACTGCGGTTCAGCTGCCAGAAAAGCAATATGTAGACGGGCGACAGAGCAGCCCATCTCGTACTCTGCGCTTTGATCGTCGCTGGCACCGAGAGTGCGGAAGAGGTGACGTATGTCAAGATCGGCAGTACTCTGCTAGCGCTGAATGTATCTTACATAATCGACGAAATGATCTTTCCCTTCATTAAGACATAACATCAGGCCCATGCACGTATTCCCCGCTATGAACACGGTTCGAGGTAGCTTGAGAATATCTTGTTCAATACTACATCACGAACCTCGGCTTACATTCGTTGGTATGCAACAGCAAAGTTTTCACCAAAGAATTACCAGGACATATAACAACCAATCTTTGGCAGCCGTAAAGTTTCACTGAACGAAAGATTAACAGTTCTAGATTCACTATTTTCTCGACCGCAAACGTTTATGTCTAGCTGCACTATTGGCCGCTCTCAGCTGATCCATCCACTTCTTGTTTTGGTATCAGCAGGTGGGCTGATGTTCATCTTCGTACCGCCTCCTGCGTGTGCCCAGCTGTGTCGTGCTGGTGCCTATACCCTAATACGTCCGATAGGAAACACAAGATGGCTCACCACGATCGAGACGACTGGGTTCGCTCACCGAATGCGCCACAAAGTTCTTCATAGTTGTATCCTCGCTTGGCAACCTTGGAAATCTTCCGCCTCGTTTCTCAATACCTCAAAAAGAAGATCGTGCAAGGAGCTGGAAGAATCAAACTGACAAGTCGATATGGTGAAATGGTGGGGAGAACAAGCATTTTCTGCATCTGGAAGTCAATACGCGAGGCGATTGTGTCAGATGTCTTGCCGCATGGCTATGAGATGACATGCCAGATATGGAGGCTTCATCGTGTAGAAATTCTTCATTCCTCTAATTCTGAATATTGGATGGCGAAGGAAAAGGTTTGGACCACTGACTTACTATCAAAACAACGATAAGAAGACGAACTGCGTGGGAATACTTCGTGGTGGTTAACACCCAAAGGCTTGTACCTCTGGAAGCTACTAGAGACAAAACTTATAGTCCTTAGCTCACTCGTACTTGAACTTGGAGGCAAATTGCTTGCAAGAGAAGCGAAGCCCGACGTATGGTGCAGAATCATCGGATTAGACTCCTTGGGGACAGCGGCAAGAATACGTTTGCGCATCTTGCTCTGTGACTTGGCGGGAAGAGATAAGAAGTCGGCAAGGCAGGCTGGTGTGGCTATCTTGGAAGGGAATGCTCAGCTGCCTTAGAAGATCATTGTGCTTGTCGGGCAAAATTCTCCTAGGCAAGGTTCGGCTCGACTTCGCTTTAGTATTCAAGATTTACGAGGAAGAAGATTACAAGTGTATTGTATTGGAGTGTTGACCATCTGCCGATGACAGAGAGGGTTGCTCTCCTTACATAGGTAGAGAGCAATAGATTATAGGCCTTTCGAAAAGCTGCGCACGCAATCATATATAAATGAATGCACTTGTCTCTTTCACTTTTTCTTTGTTGGTCCAGATGGGACTATCATCGCTTACTGTGACAGTGAATCCGTAACTACAAGTAATGCAGGATGATATTTCACGTATTAGCGAATTGCTACGAAAGAAAAACAAATATGAAAGTATCCAGGAAGCAACCGTAATAGCAGGTGATTGTACAATGATAGAAGTGTCTACTCTGCCTACTCACATCACGTTGTGGATTCGATTAGAGCTAACAAATCTGTTCTTTCAATACGAATTTAGGTGCGTTGGACTTGCCCTGTCGATTATCTGCCGACAACTTCACGAGTCACTGCACACGTATTGGGAGCTGCAGTCTGGAAAAGCATATACATAGCTCATGAAATAAAGGCGCTGATAGAACAGCAATACGATGTCTCAAGGGCCTTCTTGAGTCAAGCCAATCACTATATTCATTGTTCAAATAGCCAGGAGTTCGTCTAAGTAAGCGTTCCGCGGGCGTCAACAGCTACTCGGGTAGCATACCGAGGGTTTACTATTTGGGTTACCAATCGGAGAGAATAGTGGAGAAAGTGATCAGCACGGCATGCACGGTGTGCTATTTTACTACCAGACTCGTGTAGCGTGCTAGCTTCTACCCATGGCACGGAACCAAGCGAACGCCGAAACCACCAGTCATAGGTATGCAATTATCATTCACAGATAGAGCGGAGAACAAGCCGGCGGTCGAAGAGTTTTACTACAATGTGCTCATAGGCGACTCGGTAGATGAGGCGCTTCGAATCCGCACTGTCATCGGATAGGCTGAGGGCTAAGCAGTGGCCCAATACATCAACGTGCTAGTTCGCCACCGATGGTTGTAAGACATTGTACCTCTCACATCAGCTACGGGATACCTTCAATACACGCACCCTCGGTAATTGCATTACTAGGTCGCTGCTTTCCTCGCAACCTGTTTCTACCACTATGGCACCGCAAACTTCGATACCTCCAGCTGCCAACGTGCTTGGCACCATTGGCACAATATGTTGGTGCGTCCAATTGGTACCTCAGATATACAGGAACTGGAGAACCAAGTCTACTGTGGGACTACCCGAGTCCATGATGCTTCTATGGTCTATCAGCGGTGTACCCTTTGGTGTGTATGCCATTACACAGCAATTCAACATCCCCCTCATCGTCCAACCGCAGTGCTTCTGTGTGTTGTGCGGTGTGAGTTGGGCGCAGTGTCTTGTATATAGCAGGTAAGTTCCGGTACTAAGACGGGCATGCCTTTCGAAAATGCAAAACTGACAGAAACTAGGAAATGGCGGACCTGGACAGCCTCGCTCCTGCTATTTTCGCTTCTGATTTGCTTTGCAGGGATAGAAACTGGGCTTGTATATGCTATTCGAAAGCCATACTCGAGAGGTCTAGAATGGCCAGTCCTATTGATTGGCATTGTCGCTTTCCTCACCCTTATCGCAGGTTATATGCCTATCCCATTTGAGCTGCTCAAAAGACGAGGTCGCGTTGTGGGTATTGATTTCGTATTCTTGGCCATCGACTGGAACGGCGCATTCTTCTCTCTGATGGCTCTGGTAGCCCAGAACGAGTTTGATGTGCTCTTTGGCACGATGTACGCACTATGGTATGTGCTAGTATAGGGAAAAATCATTCGGAAAGAATACTAATGGCGTGTAGCTGCGCGATCGAGATGAGCATGGTTGCTTCACATATGATTTGGTTAATCCGAACTCGTGGGATCCGTAAGCGCGCAAAAGAAGCCGGAGAAACTTTCGATGAGTTCGAAGAGGGAGTCGAATGGCAGGCCAAGGGTATTGACATTGAGGAGAAGGTTAGGCACTTCTTTTCAAAGAAGAAAACCGCTGAAGAGGATGGACTTCCTGTCATAGGTGCTGCAGACGCACTCGCGAACCCAGAGGAAGTAACTCCGAAGACAGTGCCGAACGCAGTCGTATGATGTCAAGATGGAGAATACGAGATTTCCTCGCCAAACGCCAACTTCTACATCGAAAAAAAATACTTGCAATATCGCGTTACGTATTTTGTGCTTCAATGTAGACGTGCTAGGCCGGATTGTGGTCTTTGCAGCAGGCGCCTGTTGCTACACGTGGAAAGGGTGTACAGGCCGTCGGATCGGCGGTCTCATTAACACAATCGAGGAACCAGTCACGAAATGGTGATCGCGATAGTTTTTTACTTGCAAGAAAGTCGTGCGGAGATGTTGCAAAAGGTATTACCACAACGCTCAAAAGGCTAGGGCGGATCTGATTATGTAATAACCGGCATGGAAATCAAACGCTAGGCCATGCTTCGTCACCATTACTCTAGCACAAAACACGATTAATTCATGAACATTAAGATTCTATTAGGCTAATCGTCTTCACATAGGTGAAAAACGAAGACACCGCTTAAGCAACTCCAGTGCTGCGCGCACTCTGTCTGCGGTGCATCTCGTATCTGTTTTCACCTCCCGGAACACCACGCACTACACTGCCCCTGCGAGAAGTGGGCATCGAGCCTCCTTGTTGTGCCAAAGAGTTTGCGCGAGAACCGTACATGCCTGGAAGGCTGCTGACGCGACGACCACCGGTCTCGTCGCGAGCAGCACTGAGTTGCTGGGCAAAAGGACTGCGCTTCCTGAGTTCAGGGCCCTTCCAGTAGATAACGTAGACCGAGACTACTAGAAGGAGAGATATACCGAAGAGAATGGTTGAGGCATATGCGAGATGCAGATCTCCGCCGATGTTCTGGAAAAATGGTGTGGCGGGGAGCGTGAGGACACCAGCGAGGAAATCACGAGCCCAGCCGTTACCACCAGTCGCCGACGCTGAGTATGGACCGTAGGCGCAGATCATGTAGTCAATGGTAGCCATATAGATGGCGTAATTGGCTATTCCAATAATTGCTGATCCGACTAGAGATCCCATCCAGTGAATTGGCGGGCCAGTGCTTGTCCAAGCGAAGATGATAAGGCCGATAGGAAGGCATGGAGCAGTGTACAGCAACCACCAGAGGCGCGCCTCGTATTGGGAGCGCTCATCGTCGGGATGATCACGACGGAGGCGCTCGTTACGCTTGATGGCTGGGAAAAAGGAGAACCAGGCGATGAAGTAGCCAATGCCGATGGCGACGAAAGTCAGTCCAATGGCGAATGGTGCAAAGTTCCATTGAGCGTACACAAGCGCATAAGACTGCAAGAACATGAAGATGATGGCATCAGAGAAACCGGAAAGTAGGGAGAGGACGAGTACAATGGGTTCCGTAACGAACATGCGGAACGGACGCACCCATGTAACGAGAATCTCGTGTACACTGAAGCGCTCTTTGAACGTCTTGAGCTCGTTGGGTCCCCAAATGTTGTTTGGCTTGCCGCTCTTTTCGCCTTCCGCACGGCGCTTCTTGGCAATGCGGTCCATGAGGACTGTTGTACGGGTCTCGGGGACGAGGATGGCGTGAGCAATTTGGACGGCGCCACCAAATATTAACTGAATCCAGATATTCCACCTCCAAGCGAGAAACTGTTCGACGAAACCGCCCACAATGGGGCCTAATACGGAACCACCGACGGAGGAGAAGACGATGAAAGCGACGGCGTATTGTTGATTGTCACTGAAATTGTTAGCAAGATAACGCAAAGAATGTGTGGTGTACTCACGGTTCCCACATGTCAGCCACCATAGCAAGAGTTACGGAACCACCGGCAGTGGAGAGACCACCGAGCGTACGAAACGCAAGAATGGTCCCGAAGTTGGGCGCGATGCCTACAGGAATTTGCCATATGTTGACAAAGAACAGACTGAGCTGGAGGACAGGCCATCGTCCTAGCTCTTCACTCCAAGGCGCCCAGAGCTCACAACCGAACGCGTAGGCGATGAGGAAGAGAGCCGCGCCCAGACGCGCCGCCTGGGCACTGACGCTGAACTCCTCTGAGATACCCGTCACAGCGTTGCTGTACAACGACGTGTTAAAGTTCATGCTGACCTGGACCATGAAGACGATGCTAAGAATGGTCCACTTCTTCCATGTTGGAAAGCAAAAGCCGAGCTCGTCGTAACAGTCTTCCTCGGTGATTTCATAGCGGTCATAAGTGCCGTACTTCTCGTAGTGTTCTTTGTCGGCAGCAGTAAGCGCATGATCGGTAGGATTCTCAGCGTGATGGTGGTCGCCGTCGGAAGCGCTCTTCTTTTCGGCGTCGCCAGCCTCGTTCTTGCTGACAGTGTCTGCATCGTGGATGTCAGGCCTAATTTCTGCCGCGGAAGCCATGTTGTCGACAACAATGCGCTTGGGCAGTGATCGATTGAGAGTGGTCAACCTGGGGGACTAATTGCGGGGACCGGATCCAGGAAGCTGGGGTTGAATGAGAAAATCCAGACGTCACACAGGCGGAGGAAACAGCTTATAACACAGTACAGTGCATGTGGAGGCGGAGGTGCACGCTCCAAAGCATGTAGTGCATACTGTGCGCATCACAGGGCACGCGCTCGAATCCTCGAGACGTCATATCGCATCTTTCACGCTGACAGGGCTTTGGCGCTATGGCGCGTTCGTGCTGGAGGCCGTTGGAGATTGGCCCCAGACCTCTTAGACTAGGCAATGTAGCATTAAAAATGGGTCGAATGCTAAACAGACGTTGGTTGAAGCGAGGACGTTTTTCGTATCCAACAAGAGGCGCGGGTTGTGTTGCCGTTCTTCACTCGCTGCCATATGCGACCTGTCGCGCTACGTCATCCGCGACTCCGTTGCATGTTTTCCAAGGGCATGTCCCCATGGCATGAAGCGTTCGCGACAGCACAACTTGGCTTTTAAGCCTCCAACATAAGCCCCCGCCCTTCATCCAAGCATCGAAGAAGGCACACCAAGCTGTGCTGATCGCTCTTGCCAAGCTGCGCCACGCGTCTTAGCCTGTTTATCGAAGTTTAGACGGCCACCCATGACGTCAGGCCGGCTCCCGTCTCGAACGCTGAACGCCTTGCTGTCGCGCCTCGCCCCATGGCACGACTCAGCCCTCCGCGGCCTCTCCACCACCGATTTCTCGATCCACCTCCGACCTCCCCCGGCTTCAGCACGTGGGGCATGCCAGTTGCTGACTTTTAAACGGAGCGCACGCGACATCGCGCTATAGTGGCGGTCGGTTTGCCTGTTCTGGACAGCCGCGGTGGCTCCGAATGGCCCACGCGTGCTTCGAGTCGACTTCTGCGCGGGATGAGGCTCAAAATTTGCAGACGAACGCATCCAGTAGCGCACGAGGAGCGAGGATTTTTACGGCCCGATGGTTCGAGACTGCAGAGTCGGTGTCCGACCGACTAATTCGGCACATGCGCTCAAGCATGGACCCATTCAATGTGGAGTAAGGTACCGTTGACAGTCTGTTGAGTAAGCCCATTGCCAGATCTTGCGAAACCTGCTGATGTGTATACATGGGATTACTGATCGTATATAACCAATAATACATCTATGCGACTCCAAGAGATGCACAGAAACCTGCATCGTCCGACCACCAAGATGCGACCCTTTGAACTGCCCAGTCGAAACCGACCGATTGTTTGTCCTGTGCGCTCTAGATGGCATCCCGGCGGCAGAATACACCGCCTCTGCAGCAGGGTACCCGCATGCTTCAGTCTGTAGCAGATCCCGTCCTTTGCGGATACGTCGCGTCCCTGGCACATTGCCATGCACATCCACATGGGTCAGCACTACACTCCATTCCATTCCGGATGCATCACCTTGATAAAGTTTTTCCAGATCTGATGATCCATTGCCTGCTCCCCTGTCGCCCAATCTGCATCGTTCTCCAGTTGTTGAAGGAACTCTTGTTCCATCTCTTTTCTCCTCTCCTCCCCTTCTTCGTTCCAATCCTTAGACATCTTAGTAGACTCCTCCCCCGATGCTTGTTGCTTGGCCTCTATCAGATTGAACTTGGTCTCAAACACAGCTCTCAATTCTGAGGGTAGTATGTCGAATAAACCATCGCTTACTTTGGCCCAACCATGTTTTGTACTTGCTGCATGTATTGTCCATTCACCTGGTTTCGTAAATACTGAACCACAGTCTACGCTTGGACACTGGAAAGCATTATTCCTTCCATCGTCGAAGTGGTATCGATCCAACGCTTCGATAACAAGGGGCCAGAATGCACGTTCCTGGAGGACCCTTCTCTCAAAAAGGAAGTAGCTTTTCTCAAAATGCCCGACTATTCCACGAAATCGTCGTCCAGGCACCAGCACTGCGTCCTGCTTGTCTTTCGACACGAGTTCCTCCCAGCCTCCACCCTCTAGAGGCCGATAGTGTGCTCTCCTGCATTCTACGTTGTAGAAATCGCTGTAGGTGCCATTGTTCCAATAACGTCCTTCTCTCTCCTCCACGATGGATACTTCTGCAACGATATTCCTCGGACAAGCTTGTATCAACGCTTTCAAGCATTCCGGCACATTTCCAGCTCCCTCCAAGTCTACTGAGGACATTATCTTCTGGTGGTTGAACACCACGCTCTTAATCCTTGGACATGTCTTCCTCAAAGTAGTCCACATGATATCCACCACATCTTGCCGTACGTCTTCAGAGTAGAACGGATCATTCGCCTTGCGTTCTGGCCAAAGCTCATCGTACAGACAGTGGCATTCAATCCCTACATTCTGTACGTGGCGAAGGAATGAAAGGTCGTGATAAGTACGTCCAGCGTAGCCACCTCCCAATAGCCAGTCAGCAGATAGGAGAAACGAGGCGCTTGGGCTTGCCCAGAACAGTTTCGAAGATTCGATGCGTAGCGTGGAAGATACACGCATGAGCTGCCATAGGGTTGACGCTGGACAGCAAGAAAGAATGCGAACCTGTAGCTCGGCAGGAAGCCTTTGGAAGTGGGGGAAGCTACCGAGCGAGCGTTGCGACGGGTTACTGGTGTCATGCTGCTTCACGTATGCCGGGAAGAATACACGTTTTTCGCATTCCCAGGTCATCCTAAGGTCCCAATCCAGAGGCTGTGTCCATGGAGGTTGAGGGAGAACGGTAAGCAGATTACAAGTCCTTGACGGATGTATCGTCATGGTGAAAGTCTTTTGCCGAGGTTGCGAGTTTTGATATTACTAAGAGTGATCACTGCCTACACGTATAGGTGGTGTGAGGCCGCCGATAAGATTTCGACACCGAATTAGGCCTTAGCGCCCATGCCTTGACTAGGCGCCTCCAGCTCTTACTGATGAAGCGACTTTCGTTGCTCACTTCTCGCACCAATGAGGCAGAAACTCATCGCTCTATAAAGTAAGACGATGTCAAATGGTTCATATACACTTGCAGGATAATGGACCCCTCAAGCGAGCGGATTCATGGTCTACTAGTCAGCGCTACTGGGATTTTGGCCTTTTCTGTGTACGTCGCTGCGTGGTCATACAACTGATGACATGGACGCAAACGAGTTCGACCGACCAAAACATGGAGTGCAAATGCCAGTGAGCGTCGCGACTAGGGCTTTTCGCGTAGTGGTTGACTCAGTAGTACGCGCGGTCAAACGAGTTCATACGTGACCCTATCATACAGGTACCGAGACCTCATTCTAGGCAAACGCTCACTCACCGGAAAGACCTCCTTCACTCGCAGTTGTTCTGTTTGTACTACTGTACCTCCATCATTGTCCTCATTCCGAAGTCCTCTCACGAACAACTCGAACTCGAACCCACTGCCTTCCAGGTTTATCCATCAAACCACAACCACAACAGGACCTTCACCCAGCAAATATGCGTCTCTTCGTTCTCCTCATAACATTTCTTTCGGCTGTAACGGCTCTTACTCTAAACAAGATTGATGGCACTACGATCGAGCTCGGTGATGAGCCGGCGGTCGTTGATCTCAGCAACGTGATCATACCTGCGCGTGCGCCGGTTACTGAGTCCAGTGCCCACAACGCAAGAGATGCTACCGATGTTAATGCCGCAGATTGGGATCGTAGTGCGTCAAATGTATGTACGCGTTATCAGCGTTCGCCCATTTCTCTAATCATTAAAGGTCCATTTCTACCAGCACACCAACTACAAAGGCAGTGTCGTGACGGCCTACCGCTGTAGGGATGGCATGAACAGTTGCATGACCTTGTTAAACACAAAAGACGAGCAAGGACACTCACCAAGTTCAATCTACAACCACTAATACACGATAGAGTCACTATCGAGCCGTCCTCAATTCGCTTCGACGTTTGCCCCGACGGTGCGCCTAACCATGGGCGGAAGTTTTATTGCTTCTTCTATAGGCGCGTCTCACCCAGTAGATCTATCAGTGATGCGACACTGACTCGAATTAGTACTGGTCACTGTGAACCCACGGCTAGATCCCTCTTCCTCCACGGCTCGGTTGGCAATCTTGCGACCAATCCTGCGACCATTGGCTGGAACGTGAGTATTGTTGGCATGTGACAAATCTCGATATAATTTTCCTAACTGACAATGAAACAGGACAAGATCAAGTCTGTCGATTGCCGCTGGGACCAATTGTGAACATCAAGTAGGGAAGGCCGTTCTGCGATATGCACATGGCGCATCGGATCCCGATCTTTCTGAATGCTAGTTGCTCCAGGTGTCTATTCATATGGCAGATGGAGTAGTACTTAGCTAAGGTGTCAAAGTGCGCAAGTCTTCACCGTTAGGGATGAAGAGATGGAACTGAATGGTACTTAAATCTTCCTCTACAACCAAATCTCTAACTGCCGCACTACCTGGACCTGCGCTGCACTTGGGCTTGTTCTGCCGTACCCGAGTTCTGTCGGTCTGTGTAGTTTTGTGGAAGATGTGCATGAGGTACTTCAATATACTTCCCGGGCCCCCTAGTACAGTGCGACAGTCACCAACCACCTCAAATCGGATCTTATTCAGGTATGTACATTTTGCCGTAAAAATTCCTCGAGGAATAATGTGTCGGTGGTAGGTACTTCCTACAAAGGCAGCAGTTTTCATTCCTATTTCGGGTTATGTAGACTGTGCTGTCGAGAACCGTGACGAGAAATGACGTTGACCTGGTCGGAAGACGCGTGCCGCAGACGCGTCGCTTATCGCGAAGCTGCACGTGTTTAGTCGTACTTTGAATCTGAGCAGGCCGCGCCATTTCTTCTTCACCTCATCCAACTCAAACACGCTCATCAGCACGTGATTTTTAATTCCTTGACATGGCACTTTGAGCCAACGTCTTGACCGAGCGTCCCCTCCTTCCTGTTTGATCGTTCGCACCAGCGGCGAAGCGGGGCTGCGGAGCTTCGACCTGCCCCTTGCGGGGTATGCTTCATAATGATGTATAGGCTGACCTTGACTTTTAAAATAGGTGCTTTGGTAAAAATCTCGCTCATCCTACAGTAGACACAGGACTTAGCCATCCTTCGCTCCCAGTCTCACGCTCGACATAAGGCAACCATGTCCGCCGCTCAAGCGCTCCGCCAGAAGCAAGCCCCAATCAAAGACGGCTACCGTAGCGACCCCTCCTCTGCCGTTGTCACCCTAAAATCTACTGGTTCTCTCGACGATCACTCAATAACATGCAAGCTATCCGACGGTCCTGCTGTGAAGGAAGCACATAGAGTAGCCGGCCTGCATCAAAAGGCTGGTGGCGACGACCCAGCCATCTCTGGGGAACTCTGTTCTGGAGACATGTTACTCGATGCCCTCGTAGCCTGCTCGGGCGTTACTCTAAAGGCCGTGGCCACCGCGCTCGGCATTCCAATCGCATCCGGTACCGTCACTGCAGAAGGGGACCTAGACTTCAAGGGCACACTGGGCGTGGACAGAACGGCACCCGTTGGCATGACCGGCATTCGGCTAGAGTTTGCGGTCAAGTTCGGTGAGAGGGAAGACGGTAGAGAGGTCAGCGAGGAAGAGGTGGAAAAGTTGGGCAAGCTGACGGAGAGATATTGTGTTGTGCTGCAAACGCTGGTGCACAAGCCTACTATCGCAGTCAGGCTGGCCGGAAGCGGTGGTGGGAAAGAAGGTGAAGGGGTCAGCAGGGAAGTGTCGCATAAGAGCGAATTCTAAAGTGCCCTCTCCCTCCTGCAGCAAATGATGGGCCTTCTTGCTAGCACTAGTTCTTGAACGGCTCATCGCCGTGAGAACCAAGGCTTTTGCACTGGATCAGCCATGCGATCTACTTTTTGCCAGCATTTTTGCTACTGCAGAGAGCCTCGAAGCCTAGTGCTATGCGACCGGAATTTATTTGCTCCAAGCCAGATACAAACTCGCAAAGCGTCTCGTAGATGAGGTTCATCATCTGGACCTTCACATTTCAGATGACTGTAAAAACAAATCGAGACAAAATCCTTGCATTGGAAGCAGCATGTAAGCCAAGCGTTTATATCATTACACGCACTAGCTCAACCCCGGGGTCGGAGGGGTTGCTATGTATATTCTTCAAGTAACGTGGCGAGGCTATGCCTTGAGGTCGTCATCCGTGATTATTGGTGAGTGTAGGGTTCTGTCGCCCGTCCCTGCTGTCACATTGAACGCGTCACCAGTTACCGTAGATTGAGGTTGTGGTTCAGATACGGATTCCATGACCTGAGCCTGCGCGTCGAAGTGCTTCTGTAGCTGTTCAAGGGCGGCGGCATCATCCTCCTCTGTAGGGCTACGCCCTTCATTGCCGCGATCCGTATACTTTGAGCCCAGAATCTCACCAAGACCGACGGAGGCCCTGCGTTTGGTAGTCCGCCTCATGCGTGGGTGCCACATATGGTCATGCACCATACCTTTGCTGAAAAGCTGGGGCTCTCGCAATAGCGGACTGCCCCATATCTTGTTGACCTCATCAACGTATCTAGCATAGGGAAGCGTGTTAGCTCTCTCCATCACCCTGTTTTCTTTCCGGTTCGACCGGCCGTGACCAAACATGTTGACAAACTGCATTTGCAGGGCCTTGAGAACTGTATGGTAGTGAACGAAGACGCCAAGATCCCGTAGCAGCACCACAATTCGCAAGCCTATACTCCACTCCAGCTGACGCAAAGTCCCGTGCTCAAGTAACCGACGACGGTAGTGTTTTTTAGCAAGCGCAGACTGGAGTATGGACTGTTCTAGATGAGCGTTTGGCAGGAGCCCAGCTTTGAAGCCCCATACAATAAGACCTTGCTGTAGGGATGGAGGGAATAGCTGCCGAACGGGATGCGATGAGTTGATCTGTGTTACCATCGCTGGAAAGTGAAACCAGTGGCCACGCTCGGGATGGGCAGCGCGCAATTTTGCTGTGGCCGATTCCAAGAAGGGTGACTTTGGCAAGTGGTTGAATTGATGGCTGCTCCTCGGCGCATACCAACAGAGAAGCCAGATGAGAACTCGCCTGAGCTCTCTTAGTCTGCCGGTCATGCCATATCTGCGGATGATCTCACGCCATTGTAGCGGAGAAACGACACCTAAACCGTTTTCGAGAATCATGACAAATACTCGTGTGACAAAACGCAAGTCGTCAAAACGATTGCCAACGGGTTTGCGTCCTGGTTGCCGGCGGCGTAGTAGACTACGGATGGCTACGATTGATTCGGCTGTCAACATAATGCCACGTGCGCGCATGTCTTGGAGCACTTCCATGATATGTGTTGGCCCGGAACGTTTGACATAGGCCTGCAAGAGAAGGTTCCAGGACTCTTGGCTGGCATCATTGTGGAAGAGCGTCAGAATGGCAAGCGTGCGCTGGACTTGGGCATAGTCGTTGTTATCAAGATAGTATCCGAGCAGCTTGCGTTGTACTTTGGCGTCGCCGAAGACATCTGGATGCTGGTCGCTTGTCAACATACTGCGCACCAACTGCCATTTCTGCTCCATTACGAATTTCTCCAATGCTAGGGAGAAGACGCAGCCCTGTAAGGCAATACCTGCTGACCGGAGCTCTTCAAATCTCTTGGGTAGCTCCTCGACCTGCTGCGTTTGTAGTGCCATGGTGAGGACAGCCTGAGGTCCAATCTCGTTCACTCCCACCATGGAGAGCCCTTGTATAATGGAAGCCGCTGGAAAAGTGCGGGTTGCGAACATACGAGCGACAAATGAGTCTTCGAATCGAACCGGTGCGGTGTCGGGGCCTTCCAAGCGGCGCAGAAGAGTCTCGTTGTACCTGGCTGGATCCCGTTTCCATTTCTTCGTCGCTCCTTTTGTCTCAAAGTAGACATCACCAGCTGATGCCTCGACGATGAACAGCCGAACAACAGGGTGCAACGCGACAGACTCTGACGGCATATCATTACGAAGAGTGCAAAGCGCATGCCATTGGCGTGCGGCGGTGATATCTCCCTTCTCGATGAAGACAGGTACCACCTCGTTGTAGAGGTCTCGCTCGTTGCTGTGTTCGTATATTTCCTTGAGGGCTTCGTATGCAGCGTGCTTGAAAGTCGATCGTCCCAAGTGTGCCAACTGCCGTAAGGGAAGCCGCTGGGGTTTCAGGTTCCTCTGCAGCGTGTAATGATATCTCAACGCTGTCTGTGCTCTCCTCGGAAGCCAGTGGCTCATGACCAGACGATAGAGATGAGGGTATGTTTTGCCTGTCTCATGGAGTAGCTCTTCAGCGTGCTCGATGGCTTTGCCCGTGAGCAAATGGTTCCTGACAAAAGTCCCCCATAGAAATTCGGCATCTGGGGTGTCTTCTGTAGGCAGGCGGTACCCTCGATGACGGATGTTCCGCCAGACATTGCGGACGCCCTTGGCCCCATACAGTCTCTCTTCGCTTGCGAGCACGACGGCGAGTTGTCTGGGATCGTCGTCTCTTTTTGCTACACGTATGACGTCGTCGTCAAAGACGTCAATGGTCGGTACTGGGCTATCGTTGGCATCGTCATTCTCGAGTGCTGCTCGCACTTGGCCTCGGACTTGTGCCTCCTTGCGGGCATCTGTTATTCGCCTCCATTGTAGTTTGGACTGAGACTTGGGCTGGTACGAGTAGTTGCGGCGGGCTACTACTGAGGAGCAGCAATTTGTGGCTAGCGAACATGCTGCGGGGAATTCGGGGGCATTGACGATGGAGCGCAGGAGTCGCAGAGCAGACGGGCTGGCGAGGAGCCTGTCCAGGGCCGGCGGCATCAACGAGACAGGGGCGAAGGGCGAAATCAGTCCATTGGCGTCGCAGTTGTCTCTGCCCGAATTGTAGATGCGGAAAGTTATTGCGCCCAAAGCGGACAAGGGCCTTGGCGGCCGACTTCCTTTCGCCGGCGGATCGTTCGACCTCGCGACATCACGAAACCGCCCAATCCACGAAACCGCCCAATCCACGAAACCACCAATTGCCCCCGCAAGCCGCGCAATACACATCTACACTCTTCAAAATGGCTGGGTACGTCCCCCCTGGAGCTGTGGTCGTGGCCGTGGGCTCTGTACCGCGCCGCCGTGGCCTCGCACACTCCTCCGCCTTTCCGCACAGAGCTCGGTACTAACAGTCGGCAGCTGGGTTATGCGCGAGAACAAAGTGCCTTACTGGCAACGCGAGTTCCAGAAGCACGACGGACTGAGGACCTGGGAGAAGGTGCGTACCGAATGCAGAAGAGGAGGATCAATGGGGTGCATATGACGTGGTCCACGAGGATGCGCAAGCGGGCGTTGGACATGTGGCGCCTGGATATCATCACAATCGAAGACGCATGCTGACAGATTTCCTCTAGGCCCGTGGAAAGTGGATGATTCCCGGATTCAAGGTCATCATGTTCAGCAGCTTCGGTGCCAGCATGTACATGATGGGCCGTCTCGTCCTTGTAAGTTGCACCTGGCTGATCTGAGCACGCCCACGACTAACTTTGACTAGGGACACAAGACCTGGTTCGGCAAGAACTAGAAACTCCCACCTCGAATATGATATCCGGATAGGAGGGGCCCGGGATGAGTCGTCTGCATCTGTACAATCAATCAACAAGCCTTTACCCTCCATGACAACTATTTTGTCTGGCCGCATAGAACAATCAATATCGTCGTCTCTTTTCGTTGCCTTTACTTGTGTAGAGTGATGCTGCCGTCCTCTGACTGTCATATTAGTCCGACTACGGCTAGCTCGTTACCGCCATTTGCAATTACATCCACATTGAGATGCGAACACGTCTTGTTTCTAACCTTTCAAAACGGGCGATGCAGCAGACATGCCAATTCTCGGTTCAATCCAATGCAATTGAGCTCTGGGGTAGCTGCCCAGATGCCCCTCCACATGCGTGCTAGTCGCTGTAAAATGAGGTCAGTGCCACCAACGAGGAACCGAGCCGAGATCCATGGATCCTCCAAACTCCGCGCCGCCAAACCTCCACGTACACCGGTTCATTGTGAAGCATCGACGCAATGGCAGACTTCGTCAAGGGTCTCTTCGGTGGGCAAAAGCCTGCACAGGCTCCAGTTGTTGGTGATGATGGTACGTACACTGCATTGCATACGCGATCGCAAGCCCAGCGACCTGAGATGCGGGACCACACGAGACCCCTGGTGCGATGCTAGAGTTTCTTGACAAGACACAGAGTCGCGGGGCCATCGTGAAGGTGTCGTCGGACGTCACAGAGCTTGAGTTTGTACAAAATCAACAGCGTGCGCTGACAATGGCCAGACTTCGCCGACTACGCAGGTGCTCCTGAGCCCACACCCGCTGCCATCTCGTCCTTCACGACCGGTACCGGTGCGGCGCAGGCTGCCCCTACAGCTCTGGGCGACAGCCGCCCATACACGGCATGGTACCGTGTGTGGGAGCGCACAAGCATGGATGACTTCAAGCTGGAGATGTACATCCTGCCCTTTCTCTTCGCTCTCATCGCGGTCCACCTCTGGGGCACCAAGCGCAACCGCAGCAAGGCCAGGACATGGATCAAGGCCCACGCCCCTGTCCTGTCCCAGGAGTTCGCCCAAGTCGGTCATACGCGCCCAAGCGGAGAGGGAGAGGTTACAGACGTGGACAGCCTGCTCAAGGAGAAGAAGGCCGACGAGTACCAGACATACGCTACCGGACGCCAGAACGTTGCCTTTGTCGACTTCAAGTTGACCTTCTACAAGCGCTTCAACCCCTTCGCATGGCTTGGTGAATCCGTCCTTCCCCTGTTCTTCGAAAGTTTCCCTCCACCTTCTGAGCGCCTCGAGGCTACGGCCTACGTCTTCGATGGCCGGGAGACCAAGTTTGCGCCATCATACGGTCAGGGTGAGTCAAAGAAGGTCACCAACAGCACCTTCGATGGCTTCGTCTTCGCAATTGTACACAAGGACATCATGAAGCGCATGCGCGACGAGCGCTACGACCTGTCTCTGACTACCACGCGCGACCACGCCAAGTTGCCTGTTTGGACCACGGTCATGAGTGAGAGCGCTGAAGTTACGGATATGCTGCTCACCCCTGAGCTTATCAAAGCTGTGAACGACGCAGGAGACAACTTCGAGGCCATCATCGTCAGCGACCAGCCCATCAACGCCCCCAGGACGTAAGTCAAACCGCTTTGGAACACCCCACTCTTTGGACCAAGCTAACATATCCCAGCCTCGACGAAACCAAGCCTAAGAAGCGTCTAAGTCTCTCTCTGAAGTTCGCCTCGGACTATGCCACCACCCTCCCCATCTTCCAGTACTTCCTTCGCCTCCCTGATCAGCTCGCTTCCTCGGCGCACTTCCGCCCTGAAGCCCTCCGTCGCATCAAGCAAACCCGCGACGAGCAGATCGCCAAGATCAAGAAGGCGGATGATGAGGAGAAGGCAGAGGAGAGGAAACTGGCTGCCGATAAGCTGAAGAAGGAGCAGAGAGATGCCAAGTTGGGCCGCCTGAGTGCTGATGAGCAGCGCAAGTTCTTGGAGAAGGAGAGAGAGAAGAATGCAAGAAAGGGCATGAAGAGGAGTACTGTCAAGGCATAGGGTCCTTCGCATGGGAACATGGCTTGGGGTTAGAACGGGTACGAAAGTGTCTTGTGCATTGGATAACGGAGCATGAGAGATGATTGTAAAGTACGGGAAAGCGAGACACTTGTGTCTCAAGGAAAAGAGTAGTAATTCATTAATTGTACGCTACGTCATGCCCACAGGAATGTTATGTCCTTGTGTTGCCTGGATCAGAATTTGACGTCCAAACCAAATATGGAAAAACAGTTTGTACCCTCTCACGTGTGCGTACATGAGAAGACTCGCTGCGATGATCACTCTCCTGCACCCTAGGATATTCTAATGTGTGTAAAGATTTATGCTCGAGGATTGCGGCGAGCTCAGAGTGGATGGAGGTGGTCACTTTAATTCGTGTCGCGGGCGTGGCAGCGCTGGCATATTGACATGCTGTATCGAGCTCAAGGTTGGCCTCCTTGTGGAGAGTATCGAACTAACCCGTGGCAGTTGCAACCCACGGCATAGTCTGGCATTCGATCTAATTCAATCTCACGACTCGCAAACTCGTGAGGGTAGAGGAAGTTTCTAATCTGGCGGACTGGTGCTGGGCTAGCTTCAGTCTCAGGTGCGTGTGCTAATAGAATGACCAATGCCTCACCTCTGCAACAGGGGAAGCTGCTTTTACAGGACCATCTAGACTTGAAGCGGATGACGCGTTCGAATCCTCGTCTGTCGCCAACTGACGTCTACCTTTTGCTACCTCCCTAGATATTTGCCTTACTTGACTCCAACGCGCACTATCGTCACCTAAACTCTATGCTACTATCCTGTCAAGCATTTACTTGCGTACGATATGTCAATATTTCTTTGTTATGGACATGGACGTGTCTCAAGTCCAAAATAGACGGTTCTGGACATCAAAATAGTCCTGTCCACCAATCACTTCATCGGTGACAATACTGTGCTTGGCTGCTACATGGGCATCCATGTGCCCCACTCCAAAAGTGTTTTGGCAGGCTCCGTGGCAGTGTCCAAGTGTAGTAATGCAACGTACGTATTGAGAGCAGTATATACCGCATGTTGTTTCCTCTTTTGAACCGCAAATACTATCCCAAGATACAGTTATCGTAGAAGTGCTGACTGGATGCATATGAGCCTTTTTGAAGATGCAGGTGTCAGATTTGAACGTGCCATGTTCCCAGGTTTTTTTCGGCCACGGCAACAGGGCAGTTAAGGGATTGTCGCTACAGTCTCCTTGTGTTGTGAAGTACTTGACGTGATATGCGAAGTGGGGATTGAGCTTCTTGAGTAGAGCACTTATTGCAATGTGGTTCTGGATTGTGACTTCCAGATTGACAACAGAAGCGCAATGCTTGGTCAATCCATCGCGGCGGTTCATGGGGTCGTAGCTTGTTACCTTGCCGAACTGAGGATAAGATGTTTGGTAGGAAGTGTCGGGTGGGATTTGTCTGCACAAATCACAAAACGAGCATTTGCTGACACCGCAAGTAATTTCGAAATCAAGAGCAGCGTAGATGTATATCGAATACTGAGGTGGCTAAGGTACATCCAAAGTGCTATGAATAGTTGAGTGAAAAAATTGTAGGTGATCGGACGGACAAATGCTCACCGGTTCGTGTCGCCGTGGAAAGGTAAGGGTAAACCGACAGGAAAGTCTCAAGTTTCTGGCCTAAACTTGTCATGGTCATTTCCCCGACGAACAGTGTTGCTAACCAACACGCGCTTGTAGGATACATGGGATGAATAAAAAGCTACTAATTCTTTTAGAGTCAAGCAGACCACGACAGTCTCCTGTTCACTTGCTCTGCTACGACTTAACGATACACACCTACTGACGCATATCGAGTGAGTTTCCTTGTTGAAAAACCTCTTTCCTGACTGAAAGCTGCTGTGTCCCAAGTCGATGTTATGCCCAGTTTATGGGACAATCGGAAGGAGCGCATTATTCCATATTTGCGCGAATGCATCCTCCTCAATGCGAGGACGATGGTGATGATCGGTTCTTCACTTTCGTTGACACGTATCATACAGCCCTTTCATGTCGTTTGTACCTTGGATGTATCCATGTCATTGTCTGAGATGCCATAATGAACAGCAGATATCCATCCAGAAAGAAGACGGCAACGGTACAAGGTTTAGAAAAGACATCGAGGAAACACATCCGAACCAGAGGTTGGCAAATGTATGAGAAGCATCATCGGGATGGGTGCTAGTGCAGGACGAAGAAGGTGGTTGCGTGTAGCTTCTTCATGACTGTGGAATCGTGCTTTCCCATACTGGTAGCCGAGATGGGACTCAAAGCAACTAGAGAAGAATAGTGACAAGACACGCTCTGCTTCTTTTCTTGGCCGATCAACAACAAAATCCACGTACGTCCCTAGCTCTTCCCGTGAAGCACATTGCGCACCGTCAATGCGACTAGATCAGCAGCTCGAGTTGCCAACGTCACTGAAGTATGCTGCATGCACCCCGAAGCCTATCCTGATCGAACGGCTGTAGATTGCCTGTCCTCGGTTTCCAGTTCCACGTTGCACTGAGTTAGGATTGTGATGGTCTTGGTGAGCTTAGAGAAAAGCACGTTATCGGAGAAAGAGTGGGATTCTGCTAACAAACCTCGAGAGGGGTATGTTTGTTACATATACGATATCGATCTAGTTAGACGTGCATGGGATACCAGTCGAAGCAAGACTACATAGCATTTGGGTGACACTGACAGCCCACAGAGTCCTTGTAGTACACCAATCATCGAGTTCTCCACAATCACGAAACCGTCGCTGCGGCAGGTGCTGCATGTCAGACGCGGGCGCTCTCCGTGGGGACGATGATGCGGACAGCCGTTGAGAACCACGGTTCACATGCGTCGAGCTTGCAAGCGACCGGACAACTCACCCAGTCCGCGTCGATGGTCATCGGCTGGACCGCGATCGATGAGCAGTTTTGCACGTGATAGTCCGGCGGATCCGTGATCGTCGTCGACCCATCCTGCAGCCATGCTTTTCAGGCTGCGGCATCCAAGAGCTCTGGCCAATGGCGACGCGAGGCGACCCGACTAATATTAGGAGGCTGGGGAAAGGCTTGGAGCTATCAACAGCTGGCCGCGCGCGACATGGATAAGGTGAGCTGAAAAATGCCTCTCTTCACGTCCGAAGCTGGCGCCTCATGCATGGGACGGCAGTCCGGCCCCAATTGTATTATACCACACAGGTTGGGATCGGCCCACTGACAATGGACACGTTCGTGGAGCTGCAGCAAGGTCGGGGAAGCTCCCGGCAGCTCTGTGGAGCTCCAATGCGACGGGAATATGGATTGCGACACGAGGTGAACGCCATTGCCTGGTCAACAGCCGTGCTGAGGTGAATTGCGCGTCCGAAATTACCTCGGTGCGAGAAGCGCCAGGATGTGATATGCTGTCTGGGGTCAATCGGTCCATGGCACAGGCAGAAAAGGGGGAGCTGATACGCGCTAGTGCTCCGTGTCAACAAGGCTAGTCCGCTCCTGGACAGCTCTGCCAAAGCTTCCCAGCCTCCGCAACCCTGCGATCATCGAGACGCCGACACAACAGTGATCCGACTGACCGCCAATCTACTTGATCCCCTCTTCGGCCATTCTGACTCCATCACTCCTCCACCTACACCCCGCTACTGCATCCAATTGCGCATCTTCAAGCTGCTGCACGTCAACACCATAAAGCTGGCGACGCTTCAGTAGATCTCTCATCACCAGAAATCTCCAAGTGAGACCCTCAAAGGAGCCAAGAAGTTCTTTCTTGATTCCTTTCGAATTGTTTTCGAACGGTTCGAAGGGTTTTCGAGAAAGAGCGACCCGACTCCGGCAAACTGGATTTTGAAGCACGAGTATGCTCTTTCACCGCGAGTGTATAAGCAATTATGCTAACCCGCGCAGGTTCCGATCCCCTTCAGTGTCTTCCCGTCTGCGTATCGGAACGCGGAATTTAAGGAAACTACCAGCGTAAAGGTAGAAGAACAGGAAGCACAGTTTGAGCAACAGGCTTCACACGGACGGGAAGGTCACGAAGAAACCCACGAATCCTTCTCCGCCACCGTCCTACCTCCTCCCCAACCTCAGCAGCAACCGCAGCAGCACGACACTCACGTCAAGGAAGAGGTCCACATCTACGAAGAGGAGCGTCTTCGTCGTCCCCAGCCTCCCCAGCAGCAGTTCCAGCAGGCTCCCCAGCCCCAGCAATTCCACGCTCAGCAGCCCCCTCAGCACCGTGAGGAGCTACATATCCACGAGCAGACTCGCTACCGCCAGCCTCAACAGCAGTCCCAGCCGCAATTCCAGCAGCCCCAGCCTCACTCTCAGCACGTTCATCGTACTGACCGCGTAGAGTTTGAGCGATCCCACGACCGGTAAGTCCGATCCATTGTTTTGCCAGCGCATCTTCGCACGGATCAGCACAACAGACCAACCCCCTGACTTTAGCGGCACCCAGCCACGCGCTAGCCGCTAACCCCTTTCATCTGTTGTTGTCCTAGCGACATGCAGTCTCCACTTTTCTCTCACCTCCTCTAAGCTCTTCCTTGCCCAACCCAAAGCTGACCTTCCTTTCTTCCTTCAGCTACCAACCTCACCCCCAACCTCCTACCTCTACCCACTCCCACGTCGAGGTTCAGGACAGAACCTACGATAGACACTTCAATACAGTCCACGGCCCTGCCACCGACTACGCTCCATCTCAAATCGACGTTACTGAACGTCAGATCCGCGAACGTACTCGTCCCATCGTCGCCGGTGCAAGCTACTCAAAGGAGACTTACACCACCAAGCACGATACCTTCCCCAGCAGCAAGCACGTCGAGAGTGTCGCCAGCCACCAGCCATCTGAGGTCCGAGTAGAAACATCTGCTCGTTCCACTGCTGCACCCCCCAAGAAGTTCAAGCGTGATATGGGATATTACGACAACGAGGGCCAATACCACTCGCTTCGTCAAGGAATCTCTCACGCCGCTCACAAGGTCGCCGACCGCATCCAACACCCCATCCACCCTCACCGCCACCACCACTCTCACGAGCACTCTTTCCCTGGTGCCAAGTACGACGACGACCGTGAAGAGGTAATCGTCAAGGAGAAGTACACTTCAGCTACTCCTTCTGTTGCCCCTAGCCGCCCCGTCCAATCCGGAGCTCCTGTTGAGAGAGTCGTTCGCGTCCACTCCAACCCCTCTCCCCCCAGGTCCACAGTTTCTGCTGCTGCACCTGCCCCTGCCCCTGCTCCCGTCTCCGCTTCTATCGCACCTGCACCAGCTTCCGCTCGTACAGTCCGCAAGATGGCTTCCTCCAAGACTATCACCATCCCCTGCCACCACATCCGCATCGGCGATCTCCTGATCCTCCAGGGCCGCCCTTGCCAGGTCATCCGCATCACCACCTCCTCCCAGACTGGCCAGCACCGTTACCTTGGTGTTGACCTGTTCACCAAGCAGCTCCATGAGGAGTCTTCCTTCATCTCCAACCCGGCCCCCTCCGTCGTTGTTCAGAACATGCTCGGTCCTGTCTTCAAGCAGTACCGTGTTCTCGACATCCGTGAGGACGGTCGCGTTGTCGCCATGACCGAGTCTGGTGATGTCAAGCAGGGCCTTCCCGTCCTTGACCAGAGCGGTCTCATCTCCCGCCTGACAGAGTCTTTCGACAACGGCCGTGGCAGCGTCCGCATCCTCGTCATCGATGACGATGGTATGGAGATGGCTGTCGACTACAAGGTTGTCCACGGATCCAGGTTGTAGAAACATCTAGTCAATGGTAAGTCATCATCATCAACCATCATTCTTCATCATCTAACACCTCTTAGGTCTCATTCAAACGCTCTATAATCAATTATCCCTTAGGCGTTTGTTTCCTCACGGCCACCTTTTATAAATTGTGTTCATAACTTTTGCATCGTCACTTGACTGGTAGCATGGCGCACTCGGGCATCGATCGGTGTCTATCGCTCTCGGTGTTTCGGGCGCGTTTATGTCTGCTTGCTTGGGTGGTGGAAATATCGGAGCTACATCTGTGGATAGTTAATGAATTGCGTCTCCTTTAATCCTTGTCCATGCTTCGTGATGTCTATGCTGCCTCATCTGTGCCTTTGTGTGATCATCTCTTTGTTTATCCGTAACATCGCGTGTTGTCTAGCTATCCGAGGCTACCCCGCGTTCTCCACGCGGCTCTCCACATGAACATAACACCAACAGCTATATCTGCCCCACTGTATGCGAACGACGTGCGTACCCTGCGCTCCTTCGCGATGAACCTCGCGAACTGAGACAACTGCCCAGTGCTAACCATGCCTCACTCAGACCACTCTCCATCTCCGCAATGCGAGTCATTTCCCCATCTCCCAAAATTTCCAGACAACGTACCCACTGCGCCTCTTCTACGCATATCCCTCCAGAAACTTCTTGAGCATAATGAAGAAGAACAAAACAGGTGCTGGCAAGCATGTTGCGAATTAGGTTTCTTCTACCTCGACGTACGCACACGCAACAGCGACACGAATCATGGAACTACCATCGATGGCGATGCGTTACTCGGAGACGTGGACAAATTGTTCAATGTGATGCAAGACTTTTATGATCTCGACGTCACAGAGAAGATCAAGTACGATTTCAAAGACCAGGGCAGTTATTTTGGTTACAAAGGATATGGCGAAGGCATCGTTGACAAGCAAGGGACGAAAGATAGGAATGAGTTTTACAATGTACGTATATCTTCTCTCTCATGTCTCCAGTACTAACACACCATTTCAGATCTCCAAGGACGATGTCCTTGGTCTCACTGACCCTCTCCCCTCCCCAGCGGTCCTAAATCCACATCGTGGCCTGTATAAGTCGTACATCACCTCCTCACACGCGATCTGTATGCTTGTGACGTCTCTGCTATCTTCCCGGCTCTCTCTAAAAGAGAATACTCGTGGAGCGGGTGGTCTGCCTGCCATCCATCGCTTGAATGCAGCATCAGGGGACCAGATTCGTTTCGTCAAAGCACTACCACAAGAGCAATCGCTCAAGGGCGTGGCGTTAGGTGAACATACAGATTTTGGCAGCGTAACAGTGCTGTTCAATCGTTTGGGTGGCCTGCAGGTCAGGCTGCCTGAACACATATCGCCACTTGAGCCGATGTCCGCGTCTCCTCCGCCTACCGACGTCGAGAAGAAGCTGTGCGAAGATGGCTGGACGTATGTTCGTCCTTTACCTGGACATTGCATCGTCAATCTTGGGGATGCGCTTGTCAAGTTCTCTGATGGTGCGCTGAGAAGTAACATCCATCGCGTTGTCGCTCCGCCAGGTGAACAGGGCAGTGTTACGAGGTACAGCCTTGTGTACTTTTGCCGGCCCGAGGATGACGTCTTATTGAAGAGTTTAGTAGAGGGCGGGTCAAAGGATGCAGAAGAGCAAGTTACAGCAAAAGATTGGATTCTTCGCAGGGCGTTAGGACGGAGGAAGGCAGATGGATGGGACAAGAGTAGTGGCACAGAGAGTGTGAGTATGAGGAGTGGTGAGATGAGGTCGTGATACAAGGAGTGTTAGGTGTATACCCTCTCTTGCTTGCATAGCCAATATCGACGTTGAAAATTGCGTTGTTTCCTTACAGCATACTCTTTCCCAATGCAAAATCCTAAAGTCATGGACGTCATTTTCTTCACGATTAGAAGAGCATTTCTAAGAGCGTCTACGTCAGGCACTACTTTTCACAGCAAGAAACCTATGGTTTTCTTTTGATCTCGAAGGAGACCTTCACGACCTTTTCCCTTTGATAACCATTGGGTGCATATTTATGACCAGCCCTTCATCCCCAGCTGTTGCCAAGTCCGCTTCCGCATCTTTCGATCTCAAACTCTTAATATACATGTCGTGGCGTTCTCTGCGATTCAAAAGTTATCGTGTTGACCTAAAGTCGCTAGGGTTCTGACGCAAGTTCTCTGCTCCCTTTGCAAAAGAACCAACAAGCACTCACGATGCTTGTCTCCTGTTATCTAGTCTGTCATGGCTCGGCTGCACAGCAATGCTCAGCATTCCCTCAAAGATGTTAGCACAAAGACTATTAGTCTCACAATAGAGTGAGCGGCGTTGTATAAAGTCTTTTTGCACACGAGTATCAAATTCTGTCCTTTCTCGACTTCGAGTCTTGCATGCACCCTTAACACTTAGCACAGCTGTCACAAGAATAGGAGAAGAAGCCCTCAGTGTAACTGCATCGTGTAAACGGCCATCAGAGCCAAGCCATGTTCCCCTCTTTCGTCCTTTACGTACCAGAAACAACGGGAAGCAGTAAACTCTACCTAGCTTTTCAGGTACAGAAGTATGAGAGTATGAAACTATCAATTGTTGTCACACAGTACCTAATACCTAGCGAACTAAACCGCTGTCTTCCCGTAGGATATCATCCGCCGTCAGACTGCAGCGGCTTAAACCAGCGGACTCCGCCATCTCTCCAATGCTCGCGACTTGAACAAACAGAAGTTCGATAAGAAACTTGGTACATCACCTGAATTCAGGTTGCTGTCAGTAGCCTCTGGAGACTTGTTTTTGTGTCTGTGTAACCACCTTGCAGATGTAAGGAAGCGCACATGGCTGCGTTGTGTTGGATGGGGTCGATGAATGTAGAAGACGGAGTCCTGCATCTGATATGGCGACAGAAGGCTTCTACCAGATTATGAGAGTTTTTCTAGGGCTTAGGGTTCTGTTATCTTCTTCATTCTTATGGAGCATACCCAGCAAGAAGTGGTGGAAACTCAGGCGCCCCGCTTCGCTGCTGGCGAAAGCGATCGACTGGAAAGGAGGAGAGACTGGGTCAAACATTGCGTTGCCCCAATATGCGATGCCTGGATAGTGAAATTTATGTTTGATGAATAATATTGCTGCGAAAGCGAAAAGACCGCGCGATCTGCGTGAACAGAGGGTGTGTTCGCGACGAGGTACGACCTAGTGGTACGAGATGATGAGCGTTCTCCTCGTTATTCTTTGCATCCTCTTCTTGCTTGTTTACTAAGGGGGGCGATCCGTTGTCATCGCTGCTCGTCTGATCGACACTGACCTGTGGCTTTGGCTCGTCACATAGACATCTGCTGGTAAGTTGTAGAATCCTCGACGTGCCACACCACCAAAGAGTTTATCCTCCGGTCGACACCCATCTAGATACGGTTGACATATCCTTTGGAGTAGGCGTTGATGTGTACAAACCCTTTTAGTCGTGCATCACTCCGTCTCTTAGTGTATGGATATAGCTCGGTGGGAGTCACACATGCAGGTGGGTATGCCAAGGAGCCGGGCGACGTCGATCTATGCCTGCAACCTCGTCCATCGTTCATGCACCGACACTTCAACACACAAGAGCCCGCCAGTCACACGTACAGACATCACATGCACCAGTAAAGAATGGAAATGGTCTTTTCTCCCCCAATTGTTGTATTCGTACTGACTACCCAGCAGGAACACGCGCTGACTGCACCCCCCAAGCGCCCATCGCGCCCATAGTCCTTCTTCCTTCCCTTCCCCTTCCCGTCCTGCAGTCTCTGACGACTGCTACTGCGGTCTGGTAGCCATGATTTAAACTCAAATGGATTGGTTCCCACAGGCCCCATCATCTCGGTGAACGCCGGAACACGGGCTTCATGCTGAGCGCCAGATTCTGGCTGCGGTTGCGCAGCAGCGCTTGTAAGCGGGGTATTCGCCGCTCCTGTCATCTCGGCATCTGTTGAAGTCGATGCGGTCGGCAGTGATTCTTCTGCTGCCGGGGGCTGCTGCTGCTGCGATTCTTGCTGCTCCTGTTGCGCCTGGAGCAGTTCTTGTTGCGCTTGTTGCTCTTGCAGAGCATTTTGTTGCTGTTGCTGCTGGGTCGCATGCGCATGTTGGCTTGCATTGATGCCAGGGTATTGCAACGCCTATTCTTTCATGAATGCCTTGGGCGACTCGGTCGCCTGGTTGCCTGCGCAGGTACTGCGGCAGCGGGCAGAATGCCGTTTCGAAGTGTCGAACTTAGTTGTGACACCAACTGTGCATGGTCATGCTGTTGTCGAGCAAGATCTTGCTGTTGTCGAGCAATCTGGTCTCGCAAGACTCGTAGCTCTTCCTCATGGCGCCGCTCCTGGTCCTGGAACCTACGCTCAAACGCCTGCAACATCTGGTTGTCTGAGCCACCTTGATGGTATGGTGGCTGTGTTGCTAGCGGCTGTGCCGCTGAGGTCGGTGGAGAGCTCTCCACGACGCGCTCTTGCCTGAGTTTGGCAAGACGTTCAGCTGGTGTATCACCGCTTGGTGGTCCGCGTGAGTCGCGCGTGTATGAAGGGCGTGATGTGCGATCACGATAGTTGTTATGGGGCAAGTCCCGTGGCGGACTCCGCTCACGTATGTCCTGACTGCGGCCTCGCCCAGCGGGTTTTGGGTATCTACCTCCATCGGAAGGATACCTGAGGTCAGCATAACCACCTTGATGACCATGTTCTGCCTCAGGTACAGTACCGTACCCAGCGGCGTAGGCACCGCTCGCATAGCTCTCAACAGGGCTGGGCTTATAGTAGCCAACAAGAGGCTCACCGAAACTCGACCTTCGTTTATCGAGATATGGCGACCTGTTAGTCTGCCAGTTGCCTTGCGGAAGAGCCGCATGCCCAAATTGCGGAGGAACCGCATACGATAATGGCGGAGGAGCCGCGGGAGCTTGTCTGTGTAGGCTCGGAATGCCTGGCGCCTCTTGTCGGCGCTCGCGTTGCGACTCTCGTCGCTGCTCTCGTCGCTGCTCTGAACGCTGCAGCATCTCTGGCCCACGAGCGGTATCACGCTCAGCTTTCATGCTCTCTCCGAGATGCGCTATACACCAATCCTCGTTGGCAACCCTCAGCAGGTCAGGGCAAAGCTGCCCTGTGTGTGTATGAGTAGCGTTGAATGGACAACGCCCTAGGCATTTGCGCCAGGTCTTGCGGTGATGTGACGTTGCCGTCTCGCCGCACATCATGCACCGGGTGTGAAAGTGCTTCACGCCGGCGTCTTTCATGACCGTCATGAAATCAGTCGGGCGGATGCCATCCGCGTAGTGTCCACGTTGGGACTTGTCATCTTGCCTGTCGCCAGGCGGGCCACCGCCGTTGTTACCAAGGCCTTGGCCGAATTGTTGATGCAGCTGCTGATGCAGCGAAGAGTTTGCCATGTTGGTGTGTTCCATGGTGTTGTGAGTTGTTGGAGGTGAGAGCAAAATTCCAGTGCTGTGTTGACCTTCTCAGTCGCGTTTGCTTAGCCAAGGCGCTCGTGCACCAGTCGCGCGTTCAAGTGAAGGGTGATATCTAGGTACGCTCAGGATTGCGCAACGTCGGCAATGTTTCACTTCACCAGTGGTTTCTTTTCGTTCGTCTATTCGGGTTTTTTGCACCATCTTTCACATGAGAGACGTCCAAACTTAGTGTAGCACCGCTATAGATACTAAATCCAAATCAAGGTTCATCGTATACAGTGATGCTGGCAGTTGCGCTGTTGTTGTTGTGAGAGTACATACGAGGAAGGCGCGCCCGTGCACTGGTTAACATCGCACTCGCACTGAATGAAGACAGCAAGCAACGATAATGTTGTAGATTCGATCAGTGATAAACTATTTTCAAACGCTCGCACGCTTCACCCATAGGGCGTTACATCATCTACTCATTCCAAAAGACACAATCGGAAAAGACCCCAATGACTTACTGTCCACCCGTCTTCTCATGCGTGCTCATCAAGCTACCAATGAAGGTAGTGATAAGTCTGCTCTGTACGGCAACAATGTCGTCTGGTACGAGCCAGATGGTGGCGCCCATCTTTCGCGCAATACTGATGGCCAGCTTGGCGTTCTGGTAGCATTCGTCGTCGTTGCGGCCCTGGTTTACGAGGTCGTAGTCGACGTATGCGGGCTTCATGCCGGCGAGGACATCGAGCAGGAAGACGGCGTTGGCGAGAGACGCATCCTTGAAAGAGCGGACTTGGCTGCCCTTGCCGCCCTTGCGTGCCATATCGTTGGCCCACTTGATCATATCCGCGTCGGAGATCTCACGCTTGCCGAGGCGTTGAGCGAGGCCGTTGAGGGTAGCTACGATGTCCTTGCGCATCAGCTGCCATACCAAGCCGAGAGTCAGTGTGCGTTGACCGTCGGTGATGTCAGCACCCTGGATACCTGGTAGCGAGAACTGGACCTGCTTGCCAAGCTCGACGGCATAGTTGGTATTCTCCAGGGCCTTGAAGCGCATCAGTTCTTGGCCTTCGCGTGGCTTGTTAACATGTCGCCAGTTTACGCTGCCTGGAATGACCTTGTCGTATGCTTGCAGAATGACTGTACCGTCCTTGAGGTCCTCGTAGAAGGATTGTACGACCGGCTTGACGTCAAGAGAGTTGAGCCACAGAGTAAAGACACGAGCCTCGCGCTCTCCCGCGGCATCAAAGTCATCAATCTCGGCCTTCTCTTCCTCGGTGATGGGGTCAAGGCAGGGGTGTGTGTTGAACAGGTTGGCGACGAAAGCCAGGTTGAGCTTCGGGTTTCCGGCCACGAGAGATGTGGGTGTAAGGAATTTGCGGCAGTCGAGGGCGTCGGCGTTCTGCAGCACCATCTCTGCGCGCTGGAGGAGGTCGGTTTGCTGTAGCGGCGAGCGAGAGCAGGTCTCGGGGGCCAGCTGGTTGAGGAGAACAGTGTAGTTTTCGCCGTCCTTGACGTCGGTCGAGAAGTTGGAGACACTGCGAAGGTTAGCTATGTTGACGCATTCACACCATGTCCTTGTCTACGTACGTCCTGTGCCACTTGGCGTTCTTCAAGTGGTAGTTGAACCATCTCAGCAGGATCTGCTCCGGTGGCAGACGCAGGAATTGCTCCAATGTCTCGTCATCTTCCAATAGCCTGTACAACTCAGGGTGCAGCTTGATGTCGATCTTGCCCAGCAGACCTCTCCGGATGATCTGCCAGATCAGACCCAGAATCAAATGCTCGCGTACTTCAATGATATCTCCGCTGCCAATGTTCACCACTGAGCATCCAATACCCTTGGCCGACTCGATGACGATGTTGTTGTTCTCTGTGAAGTGGAAGTTGTTGAGCGACTTGATCTTCTTGCCCGGCTTGTTCAGCACACGTTCGTCAATGGTGTCCGGTACGCTGTCGTTGATAAGCTTGGACAAGACCAGGCCGTCCTTGCAGGCGTCGAATATCTCAAACGTGTCTGTGGGGAAGGGCAGGCGGTCGCCGATGTCTGGGTCTCCGGCGAGGACAGCGTTGATGTGGCGCGTAAACTCGGTTCGCTCATCTTCGTTGATGGTGTGGGTAACATTTGCAGAAGAGCCCTGGACCTGGATCCTGCCGCCACCGACGCTACCTTTGGAGGCATGCCCGGGATTGGAAGGTGAGTTGACGCTTGAAGCTGTGCCGGCTCGTGGTCGAGTTGGGCCGGTTGACATGCGCTGTTGGGCAGGAGACGAGACGCGCAGTTTGGAGATGAGCTGCGGCGGTTAGCTTCCGGACAAGCCACAGCGTACCACGATGCCTACATCTACATAGTCGTCGAGCTCTACTCTTCTCGAGCTGTCTAGTTCCACCTCTTTGAGGGCTTGTCGCACCACGTCGTACGGCTGGTGCTCCGACTGCTGCGCGGCCTTGATGACGGTTCCCTCGTCGAGGTAGCCCTTGTCGTCAATGTCGAGCTTCCGGAAGGCATCTTGCAGGCCAAAGATCTCGCCCTGCTCGAACTGGGGGTACTTCCTGTGCGCAATGCCTGGTTAGCTACTGTGGAACCCAACGGATGCTGTCAGAGGGAGCTCGCGCCCACGTACTTTTGCAGCTTGATGATGTTCATGTTGGCGGTGCAAGTCAACAGAAGTCAGATGCGGAAGAAAATGATATACTGGGCGGCAAAGTGACTGCCTGGCTCCGCCTCGTTCTGGGTTGCGCGTTCGATCACTTCGTGCCTCTTGTTTTGCTTACCCGATGACGACGTGGGGCTGCTGCCAAGACGGACACCTCGAGGGGGCAGGTCGCATCCTGCTCCCGGATTACGTACGCACGTCACCTCTCTCCTGGTGTCAGGCTGCCATTGCTTCACAGGTACCCAACTCCATGACAGACATTAACAGCCGCCGCAGTTTCATCGCCTTTGTCATGCTCCTGGTGCGCGCTTGCTTTTCATCTCTTTACCAACGTTCTGCCATCTCCAATGCCCAAGGCCTTCCATGGGTCCCCAGTTGTTGAAGCGGTGTCCATTGCCACCTCACCCTTCGCTAGAGCCAGTCCTTAGTGTCTACTACATGAAAAAGCCTCACACAACACATCACATTCAAACAACAATCGCTCAGTGCATCAGTGGAAAAAGAGCTTTTGATTCCCTCATTAACGTCATAAGGTCCATATCGCCGGCTCGCCCAACGAAAAGTAGACACTAAAGCCATCCCGTCTCCTAAAACGCTCAAAGTGGCCCGACGGCTGCCCGTATGCTATTCAGCCCGAACGTACCACCTAGATAAAAAAACAACAGGGCGACATGCCCGCTCTGGACATGCCCGCCAAATCAACATCATCATTGCGTGAACATCCCATCGTGTACGCCTGCATTTTCGTCAAACATGGCGTGCCGTTGATTTCGAAACGGGAAAGAGTACTGGAGTTGTGTCGCTCACGTCGTCGGTCGCACAGCCACGTATGTGTCCGGTATTAGCGGTGGTGGGGTTGGCGTATGTCGAGCGAGAGCATTATTGAGGTGACATGACGACCGACGCCGAAAAGCTTCCAGTACTCTCCCGAGCTTCAGAAAGGTAAAGGACGTGATTGTAGAATGTACAAGACTTGCACATGCTCGTGCCGCATGCAGAAGTCGTATATCATGAGACTCAAAGCCCAGGACATGGTGTATAGGAACAGTGGTTCCACGAAGCAAATGGTCGTAAAAGTCGTGAATGCCGAAACGTGTTGAAATGTAGACAAGAGATAAAATCAGAAGGAAATGTGAACACAAAGAAATATGAGGGAGCGAAAAGATGGCGTCTAGGTCGCCTCGAACCGTTGCGTTCCGATTGGAGAGTGCCTGAGAGATGTCGAGGTGCCATGTTGTGTGTTGCTTCTGAAAAGACCGCTCGCTCAATGCCGCGAATTCACTGGAGATAGAGGCCAAACCGCCTTCTAGTGTGGGAACCGGCAGCTGACCACCCAAATGCTTGCGCGAGTGTTATCCCATTACCGTCTGGCACGCTGAGCTGACATGGTATGCGCACGCTGGATGCCAGGGTTGGGATCAGCGTAGTTGCCGCCAACCGCGCCACCCTCCATGGTCTTGCGCCTCTTGAGGCCGCCCATGTCGTCGCCTTGGACACTGTCGGGGCGGTATGGGTCCTGGTCTTCGTCGTCGCGACCGCGTTTACCCGAGTTGTTGACTCCGTTTGTAGGAGGATATCCCTGGCTGGGATATTGCGATACAGCCCCAGGTCCCTGGTAAGCGTCGTGAGCTGCGTTGCCGTTGGGACCACCTCGGGGGTCACTCATAACATTGTAAAGATTGCTAGAGGGTGGTGCCTGGCGCTGCGGCGTGGGGTAGCCCGAATTCCATTGGGGCTGGCCTGTGGCTGCCGACCGAGGCGTGGCTCGTCCGGACCCGTTCTGATGAGGTGATCCTGTCATCTCCGGAGAAAGGTGAGCGTGGTCGGGGTGCATGGCACCCGGAGCACCGTTGGGAGTGTAGCCGTACGGGCCCCTATTTCCGTTGTATGGAGCGCTAGAGTGAGTGTACTCATTGTCGTGGTCATGATCTCCCTCACTTCCAGCCTGGGGAGGAGCCACCTGCTCACTTCCCTGTGGCATCATTCCATCAGCTGGCTTAACATCGCCCTCATCTGGTACATCGCTGATGCGGGATGGCGGTGCCATCTCTGTCTTTGGGTAAGAGCCGTCTTGACGGTATGCCATCATGGGCTGTCCTTGCGCATATTGGCCTGGTTGCGAGGGTGGTCCCGAGTACAAGGGCCTGGAGCCATCGAAGCTTTGACCAGAGGCGTAGGACATACCTTGCTGAACAGCGCCAGGAGGAGTGCTTGCAGGTGTGGTTGGTACGGAGCGCGTGTTGCTCAGTCCGGTGTCAATTGACAATGGCTGACCGCCCTGAGCATTTTGAACGTTGCTACCGTTCCACTCATAAGAGCTGCCTTGGTTGCCCATGCCCATGATGCTGGAGG